TGGCAACAAATCCACTATCCTGCTGTTTCAAATGTAAACAAACAATGGCCGCCATCTAGAGAAGTATTATGCTTAGCGGCACTTAAACAACTTTAAAATTAAGACACAATAACACGCCGAATAAATACTAATTCAAAAGTCAAACAACAAAAATCAGCGTTATATTTACCAAATTTTCACAGACTAGTTTCGATGGTTTCACCGAACCACCATCTTCAGCTGCAAAACCGCAAATGAACCAGATAGGAAATAATGATTAGATAAGATAAGAAAGCGTGGACAAGAATAAGCAAGTGGCGCCATCTGTTGGTGAAACCAGAACTAAAACATAATTTCTTTAAAGGCCGAAGGCAAATTTGGATTGGAATTAGGATCGTTAACTAGAACAGAAAGATTTTTATGAATGTGAAATGCCTCTAGAAAATCCATTTCTCCAATGGAAGATGTTTTTTGAATAATTTGGCAGCAGAAAAAAATGAATGTGAAAGTGTGGTTTTCGGACCAACAATGTTGAGCAACAGAAGACTTCTGTGTTTCCTTTTTTCTAACATATGCCTCATGTTCCTTGACGCGAAATTTTAAGGCTCTCTTAGTTTGGCCAATGTAAATTAAACCACACTGGCAAGGAATCCTATAAATACCCCAGGAATTCATATCCGGAATGGGGTCCTTGAGTATGGAACTCGGAATTTTATTGATGGGAGAGAATAAACAACCCGAAAGTTACATTTCTGCAAAATATGTGCAACTTTATAGCTAATTGATGGAAAGAAGGGAATGACAACAGAATTTTTATAATCTCCTAAAACAAGAGTGTGCCTTTTTAGTGTGTTGAGATGAGAATTTTTTAACTGCTTGATTAATAATGTTGGGTGGAAAGCCCCTGTCAATAGCTATTGCTTTTAAATAATTTAGTTCTTCATCAAGGGCTAGTTTGGAGAGCAAACTTGAAGAGCACGGAAAAACATAGGAATAAATAAAATGAAGCTAACTTTTGTTTAGTCGGATGACATGATTTAAAGTGTGGTGGAAGGCAAACCGATGAAGGTTTACGGTAAACCGTAGTACTGAAGTTGGATGTGTTACGTGTGACCAGAATGTCGAGAAACGGAAGAGAATTGCAAGTCTCAAGTTCAAAAGTGAACTGAATAGCAGGATCAATAGAATTCATTGTTGAAAGAAATTTATTTAAATCATCTTTATTACCTTCAAACAGAGTAAAAGTATCGTCTACGTAGCGGAACCATGCCGGGAAGTTTAAAGTTTCAAACAATTTTGATTCATAATAATGCATGTAGATATCAGCTAGGATGGGACTGAGGGGGCTTCCCATGGCTATTCCCTCAGTTTGCTTGTAATATTTATTTTGGAAAACAAAATGTGTTTGTTTCAAACAGAGTTGAGTGAGAGAAATTAGCTCATCAATTTCGATGCAAGAGAAATGAAATTCGCGAAGTCTGGTTTCTAGACATCTTAATGCACCCTCCACTGGGACACATTGGTGAATAATGATTTTACATCAAAAGAAACCATGAGTAAATTACTATTAGGAAAATGTTTTAACTTTTTTTTACAAACTCTACTTGAATTTTTTATGGTGTAATTTGTAAATGTTATTGTCTAATATAGTTGAAAATCTAGAAACTAAATATTTAGCTAATGGATACGAGGCAGTACCTAAATTTGATACAATAGGGCGGAAAGGAATACCACTTTTATGAATTTTGGGAAGAGCATATAATCTGGCACAATTCGCAACAGATGGGATAAGTGAATGTTTTAAGTTGCCTTGAAATGATTTGCGAAGATTTGATCGCAGTTTTTATTTTGACAAGTCCGAAGGTGAAGGATCTTTAGGGATCGGATTATATGGTCCTTCGTTTAAGAGTTTAGTGACACCATCGATGTAATGTGTTCCTATCCATGACGACTATCCTGCCCACCTTTGTCGGCCTTTGAAATAATAATATCCGGGTTTAGAATGAATTTCACGCAATGTAGCTCTTTCTCTCGCAGTTAGATTTGGTTTCAAAGGTTTATTATTTTGAATTTCACATTATGAGCGATAAGATGCCTAATCATTTCTTTCTGTGAATCTGAAACTTTACTGAACTTGAAAGCTTTTTCGATAGGAGACAAAATCTTTGGAATCGAGGGTTTACAGGTTTGTGAGAAGTTAAAATTATATTTTAGAATTCTCTCTGTTCTTCTGAAAGACTAACATTAGAAATATTAACTATTGGCTTGATGTTTTACAATGGGAAGATTTTTTGAACTACTTGAACTGGAAGATTTGTAAAAGAAGAAGTTTTTTCGAATTTAACTGCAAGGGTGTTTTTTTTAATGACGGTTAACTGCATTTCTCCGTTCTAGACCAAGACTTTTGTTCAAGGGCAGTGAATTTTGGATATGATTTAGCGAGTTCCAGATGAAGCTTATAGAGTTCACGTTCAATTTTGGACAATTGTTGACGTGTATCCCTTATGACGGACCGAAGTAAGGCAAGCTTGCAATTTAACAGAATTCTTGAAACGCGACTCGAAGATTTTTGATTAGATTTGATTTGAATAAAATCTGGGATCAATTTTTTACATTTACATTTAAGTAAAAAGTCAAGATGATTCAGGAATTTATTGCCCCCTTATACTTTTGTCCTTTCTTTAGGTGAGGTGAGAGATGGAATAATGTCATTATGGTCTTATTCCCAACTTAATTGAGAAAGATTTTAAAGTTGTTATCAACAACTTTAAAATTGTTGATAATTCTAAAAATATTGCATAGAGATTTACTAAAGGCATAAAAACCTTAACTGGAAGATAAGAACAACATAATTCAATCATTTTTAAAGCAAGAAATGTACAATTTACAAACATATAAGAGTAAAGAAACTGAGATCACTGAGCCGGGTAACAGAGTGGATATTTATATAAATATATTTATATACGTATTTACATACGTTTGGTGCGGCCGATTGCAACCAAAATACGAGGTGCACATCTACATGTTATAGGAGTCCCATATACAAAATTTCAACGTTCTGAGGCTACTCGTTTTTGAGTTATGCGAGATACGTACGAACGTACGCACGTACGTACATACATTCGTACAGACGCCACGAAAAATTCTCTTCAGAATTCATTTTAAAGCTGTTTTATAATTTTTTTGAAGGAAAAGAATATTTTATTCTGTCCTTACGTACAGATATTACGCAAAAACATCGTTAAATTGCATTCGATTGCAGTCAAAATTGATATTTTCGTTGAAATATGCTGCGTGAAACTTTTCGCGATTACAATACTTCCTTTTTACTTCGTACAAGGAAGTAAAAAACACTAGCTGTATTTTTTGATGTTATGTCTTCTTATTGCCCCCTTATACTTTTGTCCTTTCTTTAGGTGAGGTGAGAGATGGAATAATGTCATTATGGTCTTATTCCCAACTTAATTGAGAAAGATTGACAGTGAAATTAGCTGTAAGAATCGTAATCGGCTTAGATAAAATCTATAATAAATGAAGGCGTTATCTTTCTTGCCAAACGATAATTATTATAGATGAAATCTCTGCCAGTTATCACTGTTTTCTTACGCTCCCAACTTAATTACTCAAGACAAGCGTTTTGTGCATTAATCGTTAAATGCATTTTGTGTTTGTCAAAAATATCATTATTTGTTATCTTATACAACTTATTTTCAGTTAATCTCTCACTGTGAATGGTATGTATTCTTTTACTTCTCACGGTATAAAGGCAGTGTAATCGTCAGACTTAGGCTTTCGGAACGAGAAAAGTGGTAATGCATGATCCTTCTTCCGGGAATCGAACCGAAGCTTCCAGTTGTTAGATGTACTTACCTCTGTAATACAAGGCACATAAGAGAAGAATGCCATAATACTTTATAAAGAAATACTGAATACCAAAATTTCATTAAGCATGACATTATTAATGGGGTAATTTAACTATAAGTCACAATTGTTATTAATCCTCTTGATCCGAACCTTAATCAAATCAAGTTAACAAATTTTATCATGACTAAGAGACAAGAGATAGCGTCTGTTGTTGCGCAAAACACTGGGCACCTCGTTTTAGGAAAACAGACTTGTTGACAGCTGCAGCAACTTCGACGAAAAATATCGTGGAAGACAGATACAAGGGTCTCTTACCCCTGTCCCGTTACCAGCAGCACATCGAGGGGACTTTCGGTTGGAGTCATTTTAAACGTTGTCTTGTCTCGAAGACCTGTATAGTTACAAAATCCATACATTCTTCAAGAATCGAACTCGTGCTTAATGATATGTACTGTAAGCCATCATACCGATTAGGGCGGCATATTTTAATTGTATTTTTGTTATGCATGATGGGCAAGAGGTGTTTTTGTGTGCTGGGAGTACTTTGAGTGCAAAGAATGCATTATATTCCTCGATTTCACACCAAAACTTCAGGCATAATACTGTTTCTTATGCCTCAGATTTTGTCCTCCAAATAATTTTGAGGTTTTTTTGTAAAAATAACTTAATGCTATATACTGATTCATCCAAGAATTATTTATTTATTAAAGTAAACATTAACTATCATGTTTGCGTTTGCTAATTCTGCCAGTAAGCAAAGTATGAACCGTTTTAATCATTAAGGTTTAAATATTCTAATTTGTTTCTTAAATTATTCAGTTCCGAATATTTGATGAGATTTTATTTATTTATTTTAATTCCTTTGCTTTATTTCGTTAATAAGCAGCTGCGAAGTACATGCTTGCGAATCTTTACCTCGAAACTATTTTTAAAGTTAGTAGCATAAACTGCAACTGAAATTTTAAGTAATTTATTGCTTGTAACTGTGTAGGGATGTCATCGATTGAAACATTTTGGAATTTCCGCCACAAATATTGAAAATTTGATGTAATGCGACGTATGTATTATACATTAAATATATTTAAGATTGATAGTTAGTATGTTAATATATATATATATATATATATATTTATTTAATTTATTACATCTTTTTTCAGCAGGTGGATCCAGAACTTATTTTCACTAAACAAGAAAAAATAGGACAAGGAGGTTTCGGAGAAGTTTTCAAGGGCATGAACAACCGGACTCAACAAATCGTGGCCATAAAGATAATAGATCTGGAGCAGGTTTTAGAAGAGATCGAAGACATACGACAGGAAATAATGGTTCTCTCACAATGTGATAGTCCCTATGTTACAAAATACTATGGATCTTATTTAAAGGTCAGAAATGATAATTTAAATATGTTGATATCGAATGTAACAAATATACACACTGCGTCTACGAAGTTTTAATCGTATAAAATCAAAAGTTAAAGGAAACAATATTTTTACTTCATATTAACTTTATGTTGAAGGCTTACTTCAATATATAGTACAATCTTTTTAAATCTGTACACAGCATAAAATTCATGCAGCTGTTCGATTCCTTATCAGAACTTTTCTTATGGTTTTCGGAATCTGTTTATTATTATTAAAATAATAAGTTTTATGGTGAGTCTTCACTTTAGGAAATAGAAAGCAGTCCGCAGGTGCCAAATCTGGTGTTTGAGAATTACGACGCTTTCCATTACTTGATCAGAATTGTATAACGGCTCATTATTATAGTGGAGGAGGAGGGGGGGTTAAAAAGTTATTCAGCTGAACTTTTTCATGAATTCATGCGCTTAATTCCTTTCATAAGTCTGTCCATTACGTTTTGTTAAAATATGGAATTCACTGTCTGTCCCTGAGGGGGGGGGACAGCAAAATTATCTTTACTCGAGATTTATGAAATCGAAGTTTCTTTAGTCGTTATGGCCAACACAAGCAGTTATTTGTCATTTTTTTTCTCAGAATTATTATCAAAACAACAAGTTCGTCTTCAGTCTCAATTTAATTCGGAAAAAAATCGAGATTTATAGCTGCCATTTGAATCAAATCATGACATGAAGTTCTATTGCGTGAGAGACAAAACGGAAACAAAATTTTTCTTAAAATCTTCCTTGATAGTTTTTGTGAGCAGTGATTGATGTTAATGTGTCATTATCTGTTATGTAAAATTATATGTTATTCAAAGAGTCAGGGACAGGATTTTCAGAACTTGTGAAACCCTGTGCTCTTCTTAACGTTAAGCTTTCGAAGTCATAATTGCAGGTCCATTCGATCAAAGGAAACGATTAACTGTATTGAAAATTCTGTCCGTAAACGGACCATATTTTAAGAAAAGCAGGTTCAGATAATGTAATAGTTGCTGTCAGTTATCATTTGGCAAGTTTTCTCATATTTGTTAAAAAATTAGTTCTAAAATATTGTAGACGCATTATGCTTATATAATTAAGTACCGTATACCTTCAAATTTTAGTGCAGATAACAGAATGCAAAAATAAAAAAGACTAATTTTAAATAAATAAAATAAAGGAAATAAAACCTTGACATACATCGACTATTTTTTAAACTATCGATTTCGATTATTTAACAGCAGTATTATACACATTTAAATTAGCATTGTGAAAAAAATTATTAATAGTAATGAATATTTCGGAAAGCTGTGCAATTCTAAAACGCATTTTAAGTATTAAAAAAAACACGTTCTAAATGAAAGAAAAACAATAGTTTTATTTGGTTTATTTAGTAATTTAAAAGGAAAAAAGAGGAAAGAAAAGGTTTCCAAAGGTTTTTTTTAAGTAAAAAAAAGTCAACGATTCCAGGTGTTTCTTTTTTCTAAATAAGATCAAAGATTTAATTTCTATAATAATATAAAATTCTCATTGTTTAAAATAAAAAGGTCTGAGTATTTTTTATTAAAATATATTGCAAACTCTTGAAAGCTTTTTAAGGACATTGTCATAAAAAAAGTCGTAAAAAAAAAAAAAAAACGCGTCGTTAAAAATACGTTAACACACTGTCCTTGATCAAGTAAGTCGTTAACTGTAAAAGGGGGTTAACGGTAGATCATGCATACGTTTCAACAATTACGGCTACAAAGGGTACAGAGCGATATTTTCCAATGTAACCTTAGAACAGTATCCAGATATGTGCTAGATAGCAGCTAATATTTAGCATACGTTCTTACCTATAACAAAATATAAAACAGGAAACAGAAACTTTAGTTATCAGATAAATAAAATGTAAAGATATCCTCTGTATATTATGATATTCGTACTGTATATTTATGAACTCAGTTTGGCTTAGTAAATTTTAGTCTAATCATCCTAGACTGCCGAACAAATTATTCTCCCGCCTTTACCTTTTAATATCAGAATTGCAATTAAAGCTATATAAAATAATTAAAAGCTTTATTTTGCACTTCAACTCAAAGTTACAGAAACTAAAGATGATTAACAAAATTAACTTCCAGTTTTTGCTGGATTAATAAAGAACAATTAATGTTCAAAGCATTCACTAGTCGAAATGTAAATTTGAAGCCTAACAACTGGGCTTTGCTATCCGCTGCATCTAACGTAATTTCAGTCTAATAAGACAGCTTCTGGGTTGTAGCAACAACGATAAAGGCTAACTTCAGCGGAAGAATTTCACCAAGGCTGGCTGAGGTTGCCAGTTGTCTCTCTTAAACTGAGATTACAGAGATACCTCTTATTATATAAACTCTGTTTATTTATGTATTCTGGCGGAATGGATGAAACAGTAAAAATACAGGAAAAATTGAACGTAACATATTAATTAAAATGAACTTCGCGTATTTGTTCTCTTAAACGGCTAGTGAAATGGGAAAACACCTGTATAAACATAGGATTCCTGCAGTACTGTTACACGGAAACTATAAACATCTCAAAAGATCCCCCCTTTAAAAAAAAAAATTATGTTTGGATGTGAATTAATGAAGTATTTCTTAAGAAACTTTAAGAATATTTTTGATGGGGAAAGATAATTAAATTTCAGTATTGAACATTGCTTCCGAGAGATGTGGTGGTAGTGTATTTAATTATGGCAAAGCACACTAGGGCTATCTGCCTAAGGGAGGGATGCCTTCGTGGAGGACTTTCTAAGGGACACTGGCTCGTATACATGTTACACATGGGGAAAACCACGAAAACACCCATGCAGCCGGCCCGTTCGCGGGATTCGAACCTCGGACCGAACTACCAGTGTTCAGCGACTTTACCGCTCGCTTCCGAGAGAATGTCAAGTGCTCTCAAATGTGAAAGCAGTGCAGTCTTGTGCCAAACATCAAATACTACAGAAGATGTTTACACATTTTTAGAATTATTTCGGGGTCTCTTAATTAATGTTTAAAATGTAAAGATTATTTCCTTAAACTATTCGATCTAAGAGCCTTTTTTTCTGGACTATAAGTCTGCATCGTGATGTCCATGATAGAACGGCTTTTCCTGAAATTTCCAGGGATGTTGATTTCCGTTATCTTTTCATTTACTTTCTTGAGTTCATCAATCGTTGTGGGTATGCGCTTAGAAAGAGCTCTTTTTAAGAGACCAGAGGCACAGCAATCCATAAGTGAAAGTAAGGGGATTTAACATGAATTTTTTGAAAAGGTATATATGTAATACCTGTATCAGTCTTCATTATTTCAAAGAATGCTGTGGCACATTGCGAAGTACGACTTGTTGCTTTGTCTTGATTAAATTTCACTCTTTGAATGTCACTGGGATAAAGAAATGGAATTTTTTGTGTAACTGTCGGACGTAAACTTTGTCTTGATAGTACGTTGAACAATTTTAACATTTTTTTCTACTCTTCTTATTTTTAATTTCCTACTGTAAGAGAATCCTGCCACAATTATAAAATCCTTACTTAAACTTTCTTCGCATTGACGGAACCACGTTTATACATTTTTTACTGTTCGTTTTCGATACTATATAGACCTTTTTTTTGTTGGTTAAACCCATGCTTCATCAAGGGTCACAATGGGCTTCCACCTTAATCTCCTTCTACATAGTTCTCGTACAGGGTTCTGCAAATTGTTCTGCGATGAGCCGTATGCCTCGGTAAAAGCTTGTGAACATTATACCTGGTGTGCAAAAATTAAGGACGAAGTCGAAAAATTAGCATATCAGCTGAACGAAGAGGCAGAGCGGACAGAAAGACTAGTCAGGAGATTATGTAAGGTGATGTACGGTAGCACATGCGCAGATATGCAGGTAGACGTAATGGGGGAGTGTGTGAGTAGTATAAAGCATGTTGTCGGTGTAAGATCAGTATTTCTGGCAAAGAGATTGCACGCCGTATAGCAGTTAAAAACACATCGAGTTGCTGCCTCAGCGAGAAACGGCGAATAATCAATCTGTTAGACGACATCTGAATGCTTTTACCGGAGGTCGAATCATTGGGAAGTTGGAGGAAGGCCGCAGTGTGACAAGTGTGGCTGCAGAGTTTCGGAATTGCTCACAGCATCGTTTCACGACTTTGGAGACAATTTCAAACTACAGGAACAGCTATCCGGGGGTTTAGTAGTGGTCGTCCACGAGGAACCACACCCGCAGATGACCGGTATATTGCCTTACAGGCCAGAAGAAACAGGCGGCAGACAGCGGGAAAAATTGCTAGACATACGACACAGGCGACTGGACGACCGATATCGCGTTTTACCGTGGCCAGAAGACTGCACGGTGGTGGTCTGTTTTCACAACGCCCTGTACGGTGTGTACCTCTAACGCCTGCCCATCGGAGAAGGCGTTCTCTGTGGTGCTGGGAACACCGGAATTGGAGAGACAATGAGTACTCTTTACAGATAAGAGCAGATTCAGTCTGAGTAGCGATTCTCATCGCATACTCATCTGGAGAGAGCGGGGAAGCCGCAATCATCCCTCGAACATCATTGAAAGGGACAGGTATGGAGGTGGCGGTGTTTCGTTTGGGGAGGCATCATGCTTGGTAGTCGTACTGACCTTCACATCTTCGACGCAGGTTCAGTCAACGGGACCCGTTATTGTAACGAGATTCTTCTTCCATATGTGCGTCTTTTTAGAGGCGCTATGGGTCCGCAGTTCCTTTTCATGGACGACAATGCACCATGTCATCGTACAGTAGCTGCCCAACAGCTCTTAGAGAGTGAGGATATTGAACGTATGGATTGGCCGGCACGATCTCCGGATCTCAATCCCATCGAGCATGCATGGGATTTTCTAGGGCAGACGCTTGGCAGCTCGTACCTTACCACCAGTAACGATTCCGGAGCTTCGATTGGCGCTGCAAGACGAATGGGCAGCAATGCCTCAACAACTCTTTGACACCCTCATTCTCAGCATGGGCAGACGCTGTGAAACCTGCCTAGCAGTCAGGGGAGATCATATTCCCTATTAAAGACCGGATGTTTCTTGCTGGACACCCATCACAGGGATGTTTTCGGGCCTTCAGTCGCATTGCGCTCCATGCTACTTTTTCAATAAAGCTTCTTTTTATCCCTCTGATTTCTCTTTTTGTAAGTGTTGCTTACATTACTCATGTCTTACGTATTGGGGATCTTACGTTATTAAATGTGTTGATTTGGAAAGCTTTTGTACAAAGTTATATTGAAAAAACCGTCTCGTCCTTAATTTTTGTACACCAGTGTATATTGAAGACTTTGTAACTGATGTCTGCGTCAACGGTTCTTTTTCTTGTTACCAGCGATTTAATTTTAGAAACATCAGAAACAGTATGTAACGTTTTCGGATATTCGTTTAGAGTCTTCTTTCGATGTAAAAATAATTTTTTACAGTTTTTCCCTTTCCAATTAATAATGTTACTCATTTTTCAGTTAGAAATTTTAATACCATGTATTTTATAACGTTTGAGTTATGAAATAGTACTATTTCTCTTCGGGGCGGGGAATATTCATGTATTCATGGTGTTCAATCCTTGGCTTGTTTACATGCGGCATTTTAAAAGAAAAATAAATTTAAAAGTAGCAGACGCTATTTTTCATTTTAAATAATAAGCTGTTGCCCAAATTATTTATTCCAAAACTTTTTTTTTAAACTCTTAATCGAAATCGTTCTAAAAACGTGTAAACACGTGCATTTTAATAACGATCTGATATGTTTCTGCAGTTACTTAGCATAACTTTATGTGTAAATATTTACATTCTAAATTACGGTTCCTAAAATTAAGATGCTTCTGCAATAGGTTTCTTTTTTAGGGGGGAGTGATTCTAATTTTTTGTTAAAATTAAGATAATATCATATTATTATTAACTGCATTTTCTAAGATTCCATTTCTATTAACTTCATTTCATATATTTTGGGAAGCATTGATTTTTTAAGGTACATTATTGGTAGCATTGTTTGAAATTATGTATGCCTCTTTCTTCCTGCATAAGCTAATTATTGTTTTAAATGTTTAAAAACTCAAATAAATGATGTTTTTAAATGATAAAAACTCACGTGTGCACAAGTAAGTTGGAAATGTTCCATCGACACTGCAAATAATCTTCTTAAAAATGCTTTAAGATCATTGATAGTTAATATTGATCATTGATAATGTTGCTTTTATTCAGAATTAATGATATCTCTTGTATGTTCCCATTGCAAATACATTTTGTAACTATGTGGAATGTATACTTGCTATTGTTGAGTCAAGTGTATCTTTTATGGAATTTACTAAAATTTGATAAATCCTTATTTTTCCTAATACTTTAATAATATAGAAGTTACTCAAAAAAGGTGGCTGCCGGAATTATTTATTTAAATAATTGTTGCAAAATGCCCAGCTGCAGTAAGATAGCTTCCCTGCAAAGCGAGTTCCTTCTCAATTATCTCCACGAGTTTTTGTAGTTTTCTATAAACAGGTATACATGATGAACCTTTACACGATCAAATATGAACATTTTAACTTTTAGAATAGCACTTTTACTCCAAGAAATAATATAATTTTTTTTTTTTTTTTTTTCTTTTTTACAGTACTATTTTTTACTCAGTGTTTCAAAACTGATTTCATAGAATTTTGTATAGTATTTTAATAACCTATGTAGTATTTTTTAAAACATTTTTCAAACACTCTGCATATTATGCGTTACTGCTTTTTTATTATGATCTTGCAATAATATAGGGACCAAAACTATGGATAATCATGGAGTATCTCGGTGGAGGGTCCGCTTTGGATTTGATGAAAGCAACAAAATTTGAAGAACTTCATATAGCTATAGTGTTGAGGGATGTTCTGAAAGGCCTCGATTACCTGCATTCGGAGCGCAAAGTACACCGTGATATTAAAGGTATTTATTCGGTTGTGTGTATTCCCTCCTCCCCCCGTAAAACTTATAATTTCTCTTCAGAGATTGTTTAAACAATAAATTAACTTCCTAGCGCTGATAGTTAAATGATTAATCTAGTTAATTTTCCTAATTATATATGTTACAACAATATATGAAATCCTATATTCTATGATACCTAGGCATTTTATAGAATACTGTGAAAGATGTACTGTAAAGAATGCAGTGTATGAAACAATTAAACATTTCACAAATTGCCTAGGCATTCTATAGAATGCCAAATGACAAACCGGTAAAGTATGAAATACATGTTAATGTTATATATAATGCATAGGGAAAGTGCATAATAATTCGTGCAGTCTGTTGTAATGAGTGTGACAGAGCATAATAGTTTAATACCGACTTGAAACTTCTGAAAGAATTTTAAAACAACTGTTTACGAGATCAAAGTTTATTTTATGTTCTAAGAGCTTGCGTATAGAATTGAAGATATTCCTGATAACGAAATTCCTCTCTGGTCAGTTACAGTTGCTCAGTCCAATGGAAGTGGCCGAAGATTCGTCAAGTATATGCGTAAAACAAAGTGCCGAAATATGAAATGTCTTTGTGCGAAAAAAGTAGTGAAGTGAATTCAAAATGTCATTCATGCACCAAATAGCTTAATTTTAATTTATATGAAATTTTTTTGTTTTCTTTTTTAAGAAAGATAAGATTAAGATTTATTTAACTTTAAAATAGGCATATATTTTGTTTCGTAAAACTTTAAATAAAAAATATAAAAAAAATTAATGGCACTCTTTCATTATTTTTTCGACATAACATTTGTATTTTTGAGAAATAAACGTCTTTTAAATAGTAATAGCCTTATTATGATATTTTTTTTCATACTTTGCCTAAGAACATTTATCATTCTATAGAATGTCTAAATATTATATATACAATGCGTAGGTATATAATAATTCTCATATTTCATACTTTGCCTAAAACGATGGGCATTCTATAAAATGCATATGTTTTCTAAAGAATGTTGGCGTTTCAGATTTTGCCAGTACATATGCGATTATGAACTGTTTCTTTGAATTCCTTTTTATTTCCTTGTACGAAGTAAAAAGGAAGTATTGTAATCTCGAAAAGTTTCAGGCAGCATATTTACGAAAATTTCCATTTTGAGCGCTATCGAATGCAATTTAACGATGTTTTTCATGATATCTGTACGTAAGGACAGAATAAAAGACTCGTTTCCTCCAAAAAAATTATAAAACTGCTTTAAAATTAATTCTGAAGAGAATTTTTCGTGGTATGCCTGAAAAGAAATGTGATGCAGTTCCTGATGCTCTTAAAGCTTTTTCTTTAGAAGTTATAGCTACAAATTACCCTAGCTCTTGAGTGGATCCACATGTATACTTATGGCTCTTCATGTGAGGAAAATACTTGTGCGGCAGGGTGATGTACTGTGAAAGATATTTTGAGGAATCCTATGCTGTTGGTCTTAATACCTCTAACTTCGAGGCAGAGATTTTTGCCACAAGAAAAGCAGTTTTAAATCTTCTTGGACTTGATATTAACTTTAGGACTTGATATTTGTTGACTCCCAGGCTGCAGTTATGGCAGCTGTCTCCTATACACCTAATGATTATTTTCTTGTTGAACAGACTAAGATAAATGTTTCCGAAGCAATTGCCTCTGGCTAGAAGCTTGTTTTTCAGTGGATCTCCAGCCACTGTGGGGTGCCCTGAAAGGAAGCAGATGTGCTTACTGGGTTTTAGAATATTCTTCCTGTTATAATAAATGGCTGATTTTTTTTTTTTTTTCTTTTTTTTTAATCAGGTTTTCCTATTCATTTATTTATATTTTCTATTTTACATTATCAAATTTACTGCATACTTGGTTTTTTATTTATTTATTTATTTATTATTATTATTATTATTGTTTTCCTGGCCTAATAATTAAGATATTTTAGTGCTAAGTTGCATTAATTTCAATTCTTTGTCATTGATTATTTGTCATTTAAGTTGATAATTTAATAACGGACTGGAAAGGATTTCATCAAGCGCTTGCTTTCGATGTCAATCAGTAAAAAGCGCTATTTAACTAAACTTCACGCTTTGAATAGTTTACAGAGATGGAATGTTTTATGTTACCTCTTCGAGTGGCTTGACTGTAGCCTTTCGAAATGACTGATGTAACCTTTACGAAAACATTTTATAAAGGCTGACCGAGTCGTCTAGAAATTCCTGTCGAATGTTATGGGTAATTCCCTATAGAAATGCTTTGCCATGAAAAAAATTATGTATAGTTCTGAAATTTATAAAGCTTTCACATTACAGAATTCTACATAAATGTTGTTTTGCAAATTCATATAGAAATTTTAAAACGCATGTAAAAATGGTATTCTGTAGAAATGATTTCCAAACTGGAAGCAAGTTTTTATTTTCAGACGTACTATATGCGATGTAAAAGAGCAAGTATAAACACTTTTTTAAATAAGTGTCAAATCATTTTTGCCTTAATATTTTTTAACTTCTAAAATTGTGTAACACTTTTTGTAGTTTTTTATACAGTATTACCTGTATAATGCAAAAATTTTCTTTTCACTAAATTTTATATAGCTGTATATCCTTGTAAAGCAGGTTATATATGATAGAATTATGGAGGATGTACTTCAAATAAATCAAGATTGTTACTCCCATTTGACAGCGTTCATTATTTTGATCTTTCACATTGTCTGTCTGTGTATTTCTAACTTTAGGTCAGTCAGTTTTAGCATTTCAAACTGTATGTATATTTTTTAATTATTATTTTTGTTCCAGCTGCTAATATTCTTTTATCTGAAATCGGTGAAGTAAAGTTGGCAGATTTTGGAGTTGCTGGCCAGTTGACAAATACAACGAGCAAAAGAAATTCATTGGTTGGGACACCCTTTTGGATGGCACCAGAAGTGATATGTCGTTCTGCGTATGATTCTAAGGTATTTCTGATTTTCTAAATAAATTTAAAAAAATTCCTTAAATAAGTCTTTAAATCAAAATTTCACATTCCTCTCATTGTTTATGTCCATAACTTATATTAAATACGATTTGAGAATGAATAAATCAGTTAATTTTAAGAGACAGTTGACGATAGCTGTAGTCACCATTCGTTGTACTGACCATTCAGTTACGACTGCCATTATGAAACAACCCTTTTTGCTAGATGTATTAAATCCATTTTCTTTTTAAGGACTGTTTATTATGTCTTTTTTCTATAAGTGGCATGTAGTTATTGTAACGAGCATCAGTGTTATTTTTAAATTTTAAACAAATATTACTTTTTAATCAGAATATACTCCAGTGTTATTTTTTAATCTCTCTTCTATTATTATATAATAAAGAATGTATATATGTAAATAATAAATAATTTATGTATGTATGTGTGTATATATGTTTCTCGCATTGCGGAAAAACTGCGGTACGTATGCAACCAAGTTTCGAACATCCCGACTGAACATGGGCACCTTGAACCCTAAGTTTGAATTTTGATTTATTAGTCCATAGGAGCATTAGCCCAGAAGACTCTTAGTCTCGAAACGGCATTTTGCATCATTTCACAATAAACAGCGAATCACTTTTTAAATTATTGCCACCAAATATTATCGCCCTGTATTATATTTATAGAAATTAAATAATGAAGAATTTGCATGAATGTATATATGTTTCCCTCATTGTCAAAAAACGACTGTACCTAGAGCCATCAAATTTTGAATAACGTTATCCTTCACCCGAACATCAGCACCTGGGAGCCCGGATTTCAAATTTCGAATTTCTTTTATAATCTATTTCATATTTTGTAAAACTTTAACAAAATTTTGAGTAACAAACTTAACGATTTCAATGCGAGCAGTGGCAACAGTGTACGAAAAAAAAACCACATTTTAAATTCCAGCGGGCAAGCATGTCTATCGGAAATTGTAAAGAATGCTGTTTTTAAATATTTTGTGATACTCCTGTTGAACTGAATTTTATGTGATTTAGTGCGAAGAGCATGATATTAAATGAATAAAGGTAACATGCAAAAAAAGTTTAAAAACGGCCCTTTGCGTGTAAATATGAACGTTTAAATCTGAAACAGTTTTGTTTTTTTTCACGTTTTGAGGGAATTTAATGAAATTTTGATTAAAAAGGGAGCGATATGAAAGAAATGTATTGCAATCGGGAAAAAATGAGATATTTATATTTCAAATTTAATCAAAATAATTTGGAGATTGAAGTGTTGCCATTTCGCAACTTTGAATGTCAAATTTAATAAAAGAACATAATAAGTAAAAGACATTTGAAAGAAAGTGTGCTACCATTGCCAAATTATTTTTATCTTCCACGCACCAGCTTGTTCCCATTCGTTGAAATGTAAGATATATAATTTTTTCTTTCAAATTTCATCTGTCTCTTACGGATTGACAGAGTAAGTGATTTAAAAGCAATAAACGCAGTTTTTTATGTCCGTCGTTATTAATTACTAGCTGGAAACCGTGAAATCACAGTAGCTGAATTCATTAAAATTATTATGCTTATATATATATATAATAGCTATTTTAGGTTGCTATCCAAACAAGAAGCTAGAATTAATAAAAATAAATCAGATTCAGGAATTAAGTTTGTGAACCAGAATATAGAATGAATCATAATGAGATCTTCTCGAGTTTAATCTGCAATTTATGGTAACAAGAAAAAATATAGCAAGGGAACATGTATGGTTAAAATGCTCTTTAACAGTTTTTAAAACATGATATAACAGTAATGTTTAATCATTAATTTTAAAATTAAGCGAGTAAGCAACCTCAGATCGATTTAGATATTGAATAAAATTTGATTGATTTTTGAAAGCAATGTTACCAAAACTTTTGTTCTTGAAAAAGGAGGGCTTATGTCAGATCACTGACAAAACTGGCATAAGTTTTATTCAAAATCTATGCATGTCTAAATTTTGCTATTTTAGACTTCTTTCCTTTGAAATTAAGCTCTTTGTTAAACTTTCATTTGAAAATTTCTAAAAGTTATTCCTGTTGTTCCAACTCAGTAGTCATAATTTTTCCTTGTTATTATTTTTCATTATTTGGGATTTAAAAGACTGTGATATTGTATTAAAAAATTAAAACTTTGGAGGGTTGTCATTGCTTTCACAAGAAAACTGGGTTAGTTACAAACCATTGAGCATTTATCATGTAATATTCCCAGCCTCAATAAAATATATTTTGAGTAGAGGATGAAACGGTGAAGATTTTGTCAGTAGGAATTATTCATGAGAAGAAAGGTAGCAATGAACAGGATGAAACAGAAAACAATTAAGGAAATCATCTCATTGATAAATTATGCCGTTAACATGCGTTTGAACAATTTAATGTTTTAATCCACCACCCTGAACTTAATATTGGTTAGAGCTCCTGGCTGCTGTATTGTTGAGCTCAGCTTCGAGTCTTGGAGAAGACTTAGATGTTTGTAAATTTATAGGGCCTGTGCAACATGGGGACATACAAAATACTGGCAATGGTTTGATGTTAGTGAAAGAGGGATTGAAGACCAATAAACCTGTAAACGACGGATTCCTGATGAATGCATTAAATTGCAAGTGCTTAATCATTTGAAATGTCAATAAAAACTGTTTAATCCTTTCGAAAATCTGAAGCATAGTTTAAAAACTAGGAACTATCCTGGGAAGCCATTACTGAGCCCATTAAAACTATTGTTTTGAATTTTTTGTGATATCCACAAAACAACACCCATTTCAGGGGAAAATAAAGTAAAATTAAAGTGAGACAGATTATTATTGCTAAGTCATAACATAAATACTTATCTGTTATAAGGTATTTCTAGTGGGCAGCACACTCGGAGGGTATTTTGAGAAGTCCTCGATTTGATTCCCGTCAAGGGCATTCCTCATTTTTCATCTCTTCTGCGTAGAAATAACCTAATGTTAACTACTCTGTGTCAAAAGTAGAAGCTTGATGTTGAAATAAATATTAAGTTGTGCTGCTTTGGTTTCCAAAACAATTCTCAGAGTGAAGTAAGTAACAGTAAATCAATCGCTTCAGCTTTCTCACTGTTCTCTTAAGTTAAATTATGCCTGTAATTTGAATCACATTGCACAGACCAAAAATCATTAAGGTTATTAACCTTAGAGAAGCACATATAAATCAACAAATTTCAGTTACATTGCACTGTTAACTTGCTGGTATGCTTTGTTTTTGGACTAAATACATTTATTGTCATTGATGATGACAGCTGGATTAGTTAATAAAAATACCAAAATCAGTTCAAAATTCACATTTTTTGAAAATTTAAGTGAATTTTAAGAAAACAGCCATTAAAATTTTAAAATGCTGACTGTGGTTTCGAGAAAAATATAATAATCTGCATGTTATCAGAAAGGCAGAAAAATTTTCGAATTGGGAGAGGATATCACAGATGACCAGACATCTGTGCACATCGTAAATAAAGGAAAATAAGTAATTAATTGAAGAAATAGTTTTCAAATGATTGATCAAGAGATTTTCAGAAATAATTCGCATTGATAATTGGTGATTAGGTAAATTTTTTTGACAATAAGTTCCAGGAGAAGAAGAAAAAAAAAAAAAAAAAAGAGAGAGAGAGAGGAAGAAGAAAACTGCTATTTCCCCGTGACATTTTTAGCAAAATGATGTGCATCTCACGCTTTGGAAAAAAAATATGAATCCTGCAAACAGTCGTGACAGCAGAACTCTAGTTTTTAAGAAGCTCATGTATTGAATAATAGTGAGAAAAGTATTAGCAGTCAAATCCGCTTTGATTCTGTGAAGGGCATCATTTTAGAACAGGCTGAGAAAATAATATACCAACCGACTAGAAACAAGTTCTGAAAACATAGGGATAAGAAGAAGGGAAAGGAACCGAGGATAAGAAAAGTTACAGTTAAAAGGGGGACCTAGTTTGATTTTTTATGAGAATGACACATAAGCCCATACAGCATTCTGAATTACGCTAGTTGTTACCGAAAGGACATTTTTCAACCTACTTTAAATTTCATTACATGAAACCCTGTTATCTCCTGCTAACTTTTTCTTCACTAAATAAAATTTATATTCTAATGATCCTAATTATGACATCTTGCTAAGTTTCTAACATAGCTGAAAAAGCAAACAAGATGGATTTGTGGGGCAAAACAAGAATTATTTTTATTTATAAATTTTTACATATTATTTTATAGCTATAAGGGCTCTTATCAGCATTTTCCTGTCAGGAAAGAAAAACAGACCTCTCAATCTTACCATCTGTATTTCGAATTCTGAAGTCTCTTTCAGCTTTAACATTTATACTGCACATTGGCTGGCTCTAATACCTATATGTTACTGCTGGAGGGCAGGGTCTGTTGCTGCCTTGGGTCCAAAATTTTAGGAGGATTCTAAAATCTTCCTGTAATTTGTCATAAATTAGTATTTTTTCCCTAACGAAAATAGACAATATACATGAAGGGCCCTTGAAAGAATCTACTGCATAAGGCTTAGATTGTCTTTACTAGTAGGAAAGAGGTATCTACTCTCTGTCTACCCCAAGAACTCCTCTTGGCAGAATATCTACAGCTATCTGTTGCCCTAGAAACAAATCCTAACCTGTTTTTCTTAAGGTCGTCTTGGGAAAAAGCATTTTAGTTGACCATCTCGGCGCACTGAATAAAGAATTGGCGATAGTATATGTTTTTAGATTTTTTGCTTTAAATAACATATTTGTCATAAGATTGTCTTATGCAATCAGCATTCTTGAGAAACTAGATAGCGATAAAACTTTCACCTAATCTACTCAGTGGCGTAGCTAGGATGGGGCAAGGGGGGACATCTGCGCCCGGGCGCAGCATCCAGGAAACGCCAAATTGATGTTACGAAATGTTTTAATAAAATATTTTCCATTCTTGGCATACAAAAAGGGGTGCAAATTCTTCAGTTATCCGTGAGTGCTGCAATCCTAGCTACGCCACTGAACATACTCCTACCTGAAATGTAGAAGTTCTGTTGCTGCAGTAACACCCCCTCCCCTTCTAGTTAGATATACTGCTGACAATAATTCTCATCGTAGACAGAGTGTAATTTCTTGCCTTCGAGAGAGATTCTCACAGCTGTGCGAAGAAACGCGGATAGTGTAGGCTGCTTTTAGATGGTAGTGTACAGCATTATTTTGGCTGTAGAAAACAAGAATAGTTATTCATGGAATTTTCTGTGTATAGTTATTCATGGAAGTACTCCTGTGTTAAAGAATAAAGGGAGGGAAAAAGCATTCCTTGAGTTCCTTTTAATAGTGGTTAACAATAAATAATATTTACTGTACTATTATGCTTACTGTATTTAAATATTATTTCCATTTATTGTGTTGTTTATAAAATTTTCTTTGTTTATTGTAACGAGTTATATTCATTGGCCAAAAATATGAATCTTAATTTCTCCCTGGTGGGGTTTTCACTTTCATATATCTTCTAGATTGTTTTACAGTATTTTGATTTATTTTCTAAGATGCTTTTAGTTATTTTATACCATGCCAAAAGAGAAAATGCATGTATAAAAGTTATTATCAAGAAATATTTTTTCCCAAAGTGCTTTGAGAAAAGACCATTAAAATGCACTGTTCTCGACATGATGGTTTTGTGATTTTGGTTTGCTGTCGATGAATTTGAAGTGTTCTTGTCTTAATACCATAAAAGCAAAAAATTGCAGTGAATATCGAGGAATTCATTGTGTATTATTGATCTACACTGCACTGAAAAATAAAAAACATGCAGCAGCAAATAGAAAAAAGTTAACATTTCGTCCCAAACATTGAACAAAGTGAGAGGTTAATGCGAGATTGCAAAAAGAGCAGAAATATTGTCCATTTTTCATGAGAACTAACTTATTTAGAACCAAGTGTTTTTTTTTGGGGGGGGAGGGGAGAATTTCAAAATATTTTTATCATTTGAACATTTTTAAAGCGGCTTGGTGATGAATCAGCGTTCTCAACAGGAAATAGATATAAAATATCAACAGCGAATGCTGAACATCTTTGTATCATCAGTATGATGTTCGCCTTCGGCATGTTTAAAATAGATTTTGTAGCCACATCATTAAAAACTGCTCTATGTCATTCTCTTCCATTTATGAGCAGTATAATTGTTTTAATATGTATCTTAAGTCATGCTGGTTAAATCTGCTCTATTAGCTAAGGGTAAAGCTCCTCGATCTGAGTTACATCTTATGAAAATCGTTTTACTCATACCCATAAGTAGCTGAATGGGAATAATAGTAAGTAGTTTAGAGAGGTTGCGAAAACCTGTCTGAATAAAGATCCTGCAAATGAAAGCAACTTTGAAATAGTATGTGCATATTGTGTATTTCAAAATCATATATGTATACGCAGTAGCTCACATTGAATGCATGAATGATGAATGAAGACATGGTAATGAAAAATTTTTCAGGTTAGTTTTCTTAGCTTTTCGTAATTTATTTCTGTATTATCTTAGAAAAAAAGATTGGAACATAGAAGTACTACAGTGTTTTTAAATGTCATTCCTAATGAACGATGATTAAATAAATGAAATAAAAATTAATTGAAAAATAACTGAAAGAAAACTTGCACAGAACGCTTTTATCGTGCATCAATTTATATTTAAGTTTGTTGAGTCTAAAACTAGAAAATATCTCAGTACTTTATTAATTTTCAAATGTTCAAAATTTTGAATGCATAAATTTACATTTAAATATACAGAAGAATTATACTCATGTGTTATTTTTAATAATTCTTCTTCCATTTGTGACAGGCTGATATATGGAGTCTTGGTATAACTGCTATCGAACTGGCTAAGGGTAAAGCTCCTCGATCTGAGTTACATCCTATGAAAGTCCTTCTCCTTATACCTAAAAGTAATCCACCACAGCTGAATGGGAATTATAGTAAGCAATTTAGAGAGGTTGTGGAAGCATGTCTCAATAAGGATCCTGCAAATGTAAGCAATTTTAAAATTATGTGTGGATACTGTATATTTTAAAATCCTCTATATATGCAGTATATGAATGATAATAAAAAGAGAAGGGGAAAAGTCTGCAGTATATGAAGTGTACCATTTTTCTCTGTCTTTGTATGATTACTGCAAAACTCTTCTAGTGACTATAATTGTATACTATCATTATTATAGTTTTCATAGTATTGAAATTTAAACTGTTATTGTATAAAAGAACACAGTGGAAGTGTTCACAGTGGTGTAAAAGAATACAGGTTATTATAAACTAGATGCTAATTATTTTGAATTTTGTGTAATTTTATTGGGAATGTATTTAAAATTGTTTTTGCAGAGAAGAAAGTCAAAAAATTATTTGCTAAATTGGTCGCTTTTTTAAAGTTTTATATAGTGCATGTTAAGAAATTGAAAGTTGAAGCTATGAATGGAAGATATTTTTATTTTTCCATTGCTAAGAATTAAAATTTAAAATAAATAAAATAAAATAAATAAAAGCTATTTATATTAAAGTGAAATCATATCATAATTTATATATTTATAACATTATGGAAGTTTAGGAACTACAGTCAGTATTTGCTATTAAAATAAAGCTGTGAACTTAATCCTAATGTTTTTATTTAAAACAGGTTGCGGGGATTTTTATTTTATATATCTAATATATGAAATGAAGGATTCATGTTAACTTTTTATACTGTGCTTTTCTGTGTATAGTTTTGTGTAATGAATATAACTGATTTATACTGGGATGTACTAGTATTACTGGAGATTAATTTAATTATGTCCATTATTTATTAATATTTCAGCATTTTATGCACATTGCATTTCATTTATTAACTTCTTGATATTCATTTCTGGATTTCAGACTTGAAACCTAGTTTTTAACTATAGAACCTTTAATTTGCATCTAGGTGTTTTCATTTATAAGCAGATTGAAGGGCACTGCTGGCCTTGGCCCACTAGGGCTGTTGTACCACTGAGTTTAGTTTTTATTTATATGGATCCTTTAATTCACACAATTTTATTATGTTGAATGGTTCAAAAATTCATACTCTGCTTAATTATATATTTATTAGCTTTTTCATTTCCTTTAATAATTGTTAATTATTTTAAAAGTTGTCTTTTTATTTACAATCATCTCCTTACTGTGTATTACTATTATGTTGAGTAATTTTTTAATAGTTTAATTCTTATAGCAGAAGGTAAAAAGTGTGAAATATTGTGTTTATATTTCAGAGACCAACAGCTAAAGAACTTTTAAAATATCAGTTTATACGGAAGGCAAAGAAGAATTCATATATTATAGATTTGATTGAAAAATATAAAGCATGGAAAGAAAGGGAATCTGGCTCTGGAAGTTTTAGTGATTCAGAAACATCTGATTCGTAAGTTGAGTTTTTATTTAAGCTAAAATATCACTGAAATAAATTCTTTTTTAATAATTAGCATAAGAAAAAATAGTGTATATGATAGTTTATTGCATGTGTTAGAACTAAAGCATTAGGCTTACACTTAATGACATGTAGTTTTTTTAGGTCAGATATCTGAAGTAGCACAACCATATTCAAGTGAAATTCCAACTTGTTTGAAAAGCATTTTTCATGATGAAACAATGTTGGATTGTAAAGATTTAAAGACAGTCGTTTACATACAGGGATGGTCATTTGCTTTTCATTTAGAATGCAGTTTTTCTAAATTTATTACTTTTGAAATATGTGGTTATTTCCATCAATTTTTTCAATGAAATTTATTACATACAGAAAGTACTGACATGGCAACCACCCTTAAAATGATCATTGTTCCTTAGAACAAAAATAAGCCATAAGTACTGAATATTAGCCCTCTAATGCAACCCTTCCAGAGAAGACCAAAATCCATTCGGCCATATGGAAATGTGATTATCTTGGGATGGTTTCACTGTACTTTATAACTTAGGTAAATCTTGTACATTTTTTGAAATACATTTTGTTGTTATTTCAGGGAAGAATCTCCTTGTAATGACTCTTGGCAGACCTGGAGATGGGATTTGGGCACACTACAAGGACCAAACACTCTTGACATGAAAATTAAAGCTCCACCAGATGAAATGACTGACAGCTTTGATTCTTCCAAAACTTATTCTGTTTTAAAGCCTTTAAATGATCAGAGCTCTAATCCAAACACTCCTGTTATTCCAAGAAATATATACTGGAATCAGAGTGGAAATGTGGTAAAAAACTTGCATTTTTATAAATTAAAACATTAAACTAAATAGGTACAATAAAAGGACTGTATTTTCTACAGCTTTATATGTTGATATAATTATTTCTGCATTTTATGTCATGTGAAATCTAACAGAGCTTTTTAAATTGTGTGTTGGCATTACTGTGATGTATGAGTATTGTCTTGTAGAGAAAGCTTGGAGGTCTTGCTCTATTATTCTATATTTGTTATTTATTGAATTATTAAGCACTAAATAATTTAGTATTATGTTTATTATAGACATTTTCTCGTACAATGAAATTATATAGTATTATAATACTAATTTGTGAAAATGTGTTTTGCTATTGAGTTATGAAATAAATTTGTTCACTTTGCTCCTATTGCTTTAATCTTCAGATTCCATGAAAAGTTTGAATAGCTTTGTCAATAGCACATTATCTGTCATTGTCAATGTTTTTTATCCATGTATTAGGAAGTTTTGATGGTAAAAATCATTGGGTCTTTATTCAGAGAATTCATCACACCTTATTTTCAGATCTACATTCTTGTTAAATGTAGTGCTTTGCAGAATATTGGATAGTGACCTGTAAAAAATGTGAATTGGAAGGACAATGGGTTGGGTTTAATAGCTCTGTCTATCTGAGATCTTGAGTAGCAACTTTTATCAGATTTTCTATGTGGAGACAAGTGCTTTTGCATTGGAAAAACATGTATGTCTTAGGGCAATGATGTCAAACTCGTGGCCCGCGGGCCGCATGTGGCCCACAACAAATATTTTTGCGGCCCGGCCAATATATCGGCAAATAATAATATATAATAATAAAATAACATATCGACGAAGAAAAAAATGAAATGTTTACTGCTAAGTAATTAACGATAATTTATTCAGTGTTGTTAGATTACTCACAGCGAGCTGACACACACACTACTTAAATTACAAATGCGTGTGAGTAGCTTGCGTTCAGCTACCTTCGGTTTTTGGGGGACACGTGCACTCAGAACTTGTACGCATCCCCCGATAGCCGAATGTGGCCGAACTCATGGTCTCAGTTTTCCAATCATAGTTTTGTACGATATATTGGTGCATGCATGTGCATGCACTTTGCTTTATTATTAATTATTACTTAATTCATATTGTTACGTATTTCATAGTTATTTATTTATTTAGTTTTTTTTATTTAGAATTGTAGTTAGATTTGCTTCATGTTGCCTTAGCAACGCAGATGATTTTTGAAAAGACAGCTGCGTTGGAAAGTTAAAAATAGAACAGCGCGTGCATTTAATACCTAATAAATAAATATCTCGTAATTGCTGTTGCCATCCACAAAAATCCAGATATTTATAGATGTTTCCAGTATATTCGAGAAATTAATTATAAAGCTTATAAAAGCCGAGAACAAACAACTCTTCTCAGTAGTAGCTGTAGTTCTAGCGAACTGTTTGTTTACTTAATGCTGTGATTGATTTGTAGCGATTTCGCTGTGAAGTAGAATTAGTTTCTCTGTTTTGAATTGATGTTTGCTAAACGTTTGACATTTTGTGATATTGTTAGAATATTTTTGAAGAAATATTTCAGCATTTTGATTTATCTCTTGTGGAAAGAATAAATTTTTGTTAACTTTTTAACGTTAACCGTGTTTATTCCAGCCCTTTGTATTCAGTATGTCTATATCAAAACCAAGTGGTAGTAAAATTAAACGAAAAATCGCTGACGAACATAGAATATTCCAAGTAAAATGGGAATTAGAATATTTTTGCTGTGAAATAAAAGATAAAATAATCTGCTCGATATGTAATAATACTATTAGTGTATCAAAGTTATATAATATTAAACGTCATTACGAACAACACAAATCGAAATATAACAATTACGAAGGATTAATGAGAGAAGAAAAGTTGAAAGAGCTCAAGTTAGGAGTGAAAAAGCAACAGTCCATGTTTAGTAAAGTATTGCAAGAAAGTGAAGCGGCGGTACATGCAAGCTACGTCTTGTCCGAGTTGATAGCTAAACATTCGAAACCTTTTACTGACGGTGATTCCATCAAGGAATGCCTAATGAAAGCTGGAGAAATTGTTTGTCCTGGAAATGTGAAGGCTTTTCAATCAATTTCATTGTCTCGAAATACAGTTGCGGAAAGAGTTACTGATTTAGCCACGAATTTAAGTGATCAGATCAAAGCAAAATCATCTAGTTTCGAAAGTTTCTCCATTGCCTGTGGTGAGAGCACGGACAGTAGTGGCAAAGCTCAATTAGCAGTGTTTCTTCGTTCTTGTGACAAGAATTTTAACATTTTTGAGGAATTACTGGAACTAATACCGATGCCTGGTACTACCACAGGAGAAGATATATTTACTTGTGGTTTTGGACTTCTGCAGAAATACAATCTACATTTGGCAAAATTAAATTCTGTAGCTACAGATGGCGCTCCATCAATGACTGGGAAAAACAAGGGCTTCATAGCATTACTAAGAAAAAAACTTTGTGAAATTCACGGTTTCAAACATTCATCATATGCATTGTTATTATCATCAAGAAGTTCTATGCACGAAAGTAATAAATAGGGAGAATGTTTTGTCATATATAAAAAAGTTATAAATTTTATAAGATCTCGAGGTTTAAATCAGCGTCAATTCACTGCTTTCTTAAGTGAGTTAGATAGTGAATATTCGGGTTTGTCCTACTATACTGAGGTATGTTGTTTATCTTGCTCCAAGATTCTCAAATAATTCTGCGATTTGAAAGAAGAAATATGTCAATTTTTAAAAACGAAAAATCAAGACGTAAGTTTGTTTTACGATACAATATGGATACAAGATTTATCTTTCTTGGTTGATATAACCAAACACTTAACTGATTTAAATTTATCGTTACAAGGAAAAGATCATATCATTAAGAATATGTTTGACATAATTAAAGCATTCAAATGTCAACTAGTTGTTTGGGAAAAACAACTTAAAAATGAAGATTTGACGCATTTCCCAACTTGCAGCATGAACAAATCAAGTTTAGATGATACTTGTTCATATCAAAAATACGCAGAAAAAATTGCAAATTTAACAACTGAATTTGAAACGAGGTTTAATGATTTTAGTTCCCTCGAAGACAAATTTTTTTTTGTTTTCTTCGATTTTCTCAATAAGTATTGACTCAGTACCCAGCGATATGCAAATGGAGGTGATCGAGATTCAATGCAACTCAAATTTGAAAGCAAAATTCATTGAAGTGGGCGTGCCTGAATTTTACAAATATTTACCAGCCAGGTTTGAAAATACTTGAAAATTCGCATATGAAATTATTTCCATGTTTGGTAGCACTTATCGATGCGAGCAGTTATTTTCAGTCATGAAAGGTAATAAGTCTCCTATTAGAAACCGTATTAAAGATGCTCACCTTGGGTCAGCGTTGAAAGTTATCACTGCAAACAAAATTTCTCCCGAAATAGGAAAGATAATAGCAGAGAAGAGATGTCATGTATCAGGACGTAAACATTAAATTTTCTTGTTCTTTTTTCTATATAAATATATATATATATGTTTATTATTGTATTATTGGAAATAAATCGTTTCTATAATATATGATTTTTTTTTTTTTTTTTTTTTTTTTTTTTTTTTTGCGGCCCGCCTAAAGTTAAACCTTGTTTGTTTGGCCTAAGTGTACCTATGAGTTTGACATCCCCGTCTTAGGGTATGTTATTTCAGCCGGAATACCCATGTAGATTCAGTACATTTGTGAAAACAAAACTTTGCATTGGTCATGTTTTTTAGACAATTCTAAATGGAATTTTTTCCAATTCCGTCAAATTCTTACCAGCCTTTTGCATGAGTGCAAACAATCTCATGGCTTGAGATTTTGCTTGCTTTTGGGAACTCAGCCATTTGTTTCTCGGCTTTAGTCTTCTCTGTCATTCCTCTCACAAATGCTCATTTCTACCTACTTGGCATTTTCTTGTTTACTTCGCAATAGAATGCAAAGTACAACTTTTGGTTCCTGAAAACGGAAATCGTAAATCAAATTTTAAAAGTGGTGAACTTATATTTGGGGGGGGATAGAATTACAAAAAAAAACTTTAAAAAAAAATCCTATGCCTGTTTTTGGCATTTCCACCGTTAGTCGATGAGCAGCCCAATAAAATGATGAGAGTATAAAAAAGCATGGGTACAAATTAGTCTTGATAGAGTTGTCTGTAATAAACTTTAAAATAATAAGGCAGGTGATAATAAGGTTTGAGGTGGTTATCACGCATATTACCCCGATGATCCAGATAGCAATAAGCTGAACCCTTAACTCCTGTCCGATGTAAATGTTGCCGTAAAAAATCAGTTGTCAAACGAAAGCAAGCAACTCCAAAAGCGTGAAGGAAGAGTAGGAGATGTTATTGTTAGAAAACATTCGAGGCTTTTGTTGAGCTGGATATTCCAACAAAAAACAAAACAACAGCAAAACAGAACATATAGAACTGTAATAAAATATTTTTCTCTTATTTAAAAACTTAGTGAGAAAAAATTAAAAAAATTTAGACATTTGTCTGGTAATCTTAGGTAAAGGCAAAGTCGATTAAAATATCTTGGAAGATTTTTTTTTAAATGAAGGAGAGGCACATAAAATATATGAAAACTCTCAAAATATTAATGCTAATTGTTCAAAATCCATTTATCATAACTGATCAAGTAATTGGATATTTATACATTTCATATATCTGGTTATTATACAAGTATAGCTTCTTACTAAAGCTTTTTTATAAATAACATGTAAATTTATCTCTAACATAAACCATAAATTTTTTATAGTCATATCTGGACACACTGCAAGGACTAAATTATTGTTAATTAAGTACTGTTAATTAAATACATTCGAGGTTAATATGTTATGCTGTGCATATTTTAAAATAAATGACAGAGAGAGAATACAAAATTATCTGAATTTTCATTTATAGTAAAACTTTGCTTGTCTGTATAGAAGTCAAGTTTTTATTATAAATAGATTGAGAGGAAACCTTGATAAGTGTGAATGGAAAACTTTCTTTTTATCTGTGAAATTGAATGTGTATGGTATGATCCGTAATTTTAAGAGTTTTAAATTTGGAAAAACTTAAATTTTGATATTTTTGAAAAAGAAAAATTCTCAAAATAAAAGGTAATTAAATTCTTTTTAAATCAATGCAAGTGTTATAGATCATCTTGGCTACCTGTCTGTGTAAGAGTTTTTGATTTTATAATAAAATATTTAACAACATTTAAAAAAATTCCTGAAGATTATATTTAAAGAATTTCCTGTAAATTCTGAATAAACTCAGTATAAACATATCCTGAGTAAATAAAAATTGCCCAAAGAACTATAACTCAGTGATTCAAAATTTGCAAGAAAAACATAAGTAAAAAGTTATGATGTGAGGAAAATAAATTTATTTTAAATAGTAAATTTCAAAATATATTTTATTTTTTACTGTGTTCTTTTTGAGGAATGGTGCTGGTTAAGCCATGACCTTTGAGTTTACCAAAAATATATCATATGCCCAAAATTAATATCTTTACCACTATTAAAACTGCAAAATGCTGCAAAGTGAAGGCAGGAGTGAGGGGCTCACCACAAGGCCTCCATAAATGTGCACAGGGTCAACACTTTCAATCTGAATCTTAATTCAGCATTGAAGATGATCTGGTTCCATTTGGTTAGCATTCTAATTCCATTGAACACAATACCATTTAAAATGGTGATGAGGGTGAATGGGTGCCATTGACAGCATATGTAACAGGCCCTATGATATCAAATGTCCTCCAGCCAGGCACCTCATGATGGCATGGATGCACACAGGGGCCCATATCAAAAGCATTACTTATGTTCAGATGACAGACAATGAGCAGCTGGCATTGTGTGTATGTGATGGTCTTGGTCTGCTGAGGTATTCTCAGCCTGGCCACCATGTATGTGACCTCTCTTTCATTCACTGGTCTCACCATCTCATCACAGTAAAGTCAAAACAGCCTTGGGTGGTGGGCTACTCATTAAGCTGATGATTTTCACTCTCTTGAAATCTGAAGGGCCACTCACACTAGGGTTTATCTGAGTTAATAGATTCAGTTCCATGTGTTGACTAGTTCCACTATATGTGAAGTTCAGATGTTTAAACTGAAAATAATCTGGCTTTTTTTTTTTTTTTTTTTTTTTTTTGGCACCATAGAGCAGTATTAGTGTGCCAAATGTTTCTGTTAACTCAAATAGACCTTGTAACAGATTAAATACAGACAAAATGCCTTTGTGTACTAATTTATGGGCCAGGGGAAAAAGTTTAATACCCTTTGGTGACATTACTCAATGGGCAGTTACACTGTATTTCTAATAATTTCTATATTTGTTTGATAGCTTCATGTGAAGTTTTGTTATGATCTGACAATTACTTCTTAATGCCCAAATTTTTATGGCAATGAGTGTGCATTAAAACCACACATGACAAAGTTGTCACAGAAATTCCTTCACCACATTACCACCCTTCTCTGGTCTGCCCAATTCACAACTTTTATCAATGATCAAGCATATTCAAATCACTTGCAATGGCAAATTGAACAGCCTGGGAGTGTGATCAAACTAGAGGTGTCTTACGGCTACTGTGGAGTCTGAAACTAGAAGTGTGCTTACGGCTACTGTGGAGTGTGATACATTGGACACTGTGTGGGACTAGTGCGCATCCAAATTATCTCATATATTCATGCTAGAGGTGGCCTAACAGGGTACTAGAACTTCATTTGTAGTTGTTCCCGTAATAAATGATTCCTTCTCTTTGATTTTTAATCATTTACTTATATCACTGTTGCACTTGTGTACATAAAATTTTGTTTTCGGGTAGCTGTTTTTTGATATGCAAATTTTTCTGACTATGTGGGCATTTAATGTCTAAAATAAAGCTGACTTAGTTTACATGGTGTCATAAATTTCCATTTACAATTTTATTGAAAAGAATGGAATTTTAAAAATAAAGATTTTTGTGCAATTTTTACCTAACCAAAATAAAAAATATTACTATTCATATTATAAATATGTTTTCGGTTGGACAAAAAGGGATGAGATACAATATCTTTGGTATGTTTATGCATCAGCTATATTTAAATTTATTTAAATGAAATATATTCATGATAAATTATATAGATTTTTCCAATGTAATTTGACCTACCAAAGTATTTTTCTGATTATTCATCTGTAATTGATGTCTAAATTATTACTTAATTAAATTTTTTATTTTTCAGATGAGACCTGCCAGCATGCCTTGTTCATTATCTAACCAAATCCCCTGGCAAATAGATAGGCCTAGTCCTGATGATTTTGACCACCAGCATTGGATTATCTTATCAAATAGTGACTTCATTGATACTGACCGTAATTCTAGTTCAAATAATCCCAGTTTTGAAAGCAGAAATAAAGATGATGTATACCAAAGAAATAATTCTATGTCTCCTATTTCACCAACATATCCTGAAAAATCTATTGGTTCCAAGTCTTCCTGCACATATGGGTTTATGACTCACCTGATAAATGAAGTAAATGTTCATTATTGTCTTTTGCATAACCTTATGTTTTCATATTTATCTAACAGGGAATTAATAAAGTTATTTCCAATAATTTATTATTTAAAAAAATTGTGCTTGTGGTTTTGAGCAGGGAGGAGCAACCAAATTGCCGAAATCTTGCCAAAAGTGCACCACTCTAAGCACTAGAAATTTCGGGCAGCCATAATTTTGCAACTGTGACAAGAATAATTTCAAACATTTTTCTTGCCCCTTATTTGCTTAAGGAATAAGGAAAAACTAAAGAAAGAAAAGAATATAAAATAATTCATAATCAAATTAAGTAAAATGTAAAAAACATTATTTTTAAATTAAGAACAAATAGTTATACAGTAAAATAAAATACCAAATTTCATCTTACTTGGTGATCCAGTTAAAAATGCAGTTTTACTCAAAGCCAAAGAAATATTGGAGTCAGACTGCAAAAGGCTTCGTTTGAATTTAAACTTTGAATGTATAGTGTAATCTACTGGGTCAGTGGATGCTGGAAACACAAATATTTTTCCAGTATATTAATGAATAAAATTAAAATGGTTAAAACATCACTAATGGAAACAAAGAGGATGTTAAAAGCCGTATGAGAATCAGCAAGAAAAGTTTAACAGAAAAGCGTAGACAAAAACAAAAAGAAAAGTGGAAAAAACTTTCTGACCACGATCCCTTGCTAATATAATTATAGTTATGTCAAGCAGAATGAATCAATGACCTTTTTAGTTGGCAAATTCAAAATAATTAGGTTTACGGAGTTTATAGATGTAATACAATTTTTAAAACGGTGATGGGATATTACCATAATCAAGGATTGAACACAAGTAGCTGACACCTAAAAGACAAGAGTTTCACAGGAAAGCTGGAAAATGAGGGTTGAATATCAGAAAAAATTAAAATCAATCCTACAGGTGATTTATCATGTTTGCCCCAAAGATCCACAAGCAGCAAAATAACTTTTTTTATTTATTTTTATGATATTTAAAATATTGTTATATTATTTTAGAGAAGGTAATTTATTTTGCATATTCAGTCATAGCAAGAAAAGATAAGGCATTTTTTATAAAATAGCTTTATTTTATTTCATAACTGTAGCTAGTAGGCTATGAAAAGTTACTTGATAGGTTGTAATTATTGTGTTAAAGTTATTATAATTCAATTAGTATAATAGGTCTTTTAATCTTTGGTATTCTTATTTAATACTTTTTGGTTTCATGACATAGGTCAGGCATAAATGTTCTAATTTAAAGGTAGTTTAAATAAATACTAAAACAGTTAGTCCATTTGTGCAAAGTTTAAGTATAAAATGACAAGCAAAACATTTTGAGAGATTACTATGACATCAGCCTGTTTACACAGAAAATGTACATTTTAAATAGTGCTATTAAAAAACTTGGTAAGCTTTAAATTTAAGTTGAAATTTCAGAGTAAAAAAAAAAAAAAAATTCATATTAAACTAAAATTTCAAAGGAAATTGGAAAGAAAACGTTTTTTATGTTGGCACTTTGTAACAATTTCATTTTTTTAGAAGGAAAATATTATTAATTATAAGAATAAGTATTCAAGATAACACCAGCAGATTACTTATCAGTAGGTGAGAAAAGGAATGTTACTGCTTAAAAATGTATTAGTTATTTTAAACAATAGAAGATAAAACACATTATATGAATACCAACCTATAATTTTCTAAACGGCCTCCCTTATAGCTTCCACCAGACTTTAAAGATAAATCTTGAGTATATTTTATTAGGGCCATAGCTCTTCTTAGTTGAATATCATATGTAAATGATGCATTGCACTTAAATTTCTAGTCATTATATTTAATATGGAAACTTAATCAGCAGTAAAAAAAGATGAAGCACTTTTCACACACTCTTGTTTTAATTCTAAGAAATAATGAATGTGATATTAAGCTTTAAAGGTATTTTAGGTTAATTAACCAGTCTTTATGACTTTATTATAATTTCTTCTTTCTGTTAGCCCTCCCCAGGATGAAATGAGATAGGTGAAGGTTTCGAATTTTTTAGATATAGAGCCTTTGCCAGCAATGCTAGCAGCTTTATTTTCTATCACCCAGCTGTTCCAGTTAATATTTTGGCATTAGCCATTTGCCAGCTGATGTTAAATTGCACCATTAAAGTTGAGCCATTTAATCAGCTATGATACTTTTGATATGTAAATTCAACTTTGTGTTATTTTACTAAACCACAAGTAATGGAGGCGCGATCATGTGCCCAAGTGATGCCTTCCATTTAAATTCAAATTTAATAACATGGCTTATTTAAAATATTCACAGGGCTTTACCATATTCACTTAGCTGGAATGATAACTTGCTTCTCAGTCTAATAGGGTCTAAAGGACTTTGACACACAATAAGAACACTATAGAGTCATAATATTATGCAAATAGGACCCTATATTAATTAATATTACATAAATAAGACCTTACAGAGTTTTGTCCAAATTTGACTTTTGTTAGTTTGAATAAAGTGGTATAACATAGCGATTTTAATTGAATTTTTTTTTTTTTAAATGATGAATGAAAGCAATTTTAATTACCAGATAAAGGGTGCAGGAAAGGTGCCCACTACAAAAGTAAGGAATATACAATGTATCTTTCTGTATGGAATTAAAGGAAGAATTGTGTTAGCTTGATACGTTTTCTAATGCAGAAATTCCTTTATTTCTCAAAGGATTGGACATACTGCAGCATTATTATTACTTTTTGTTAAGAATTTGAATTTAAATACTAACCAAGTAAATTATTAATAATATTATGCCCTTAGAAATGTGAGTACCCTGGAAAACGAAGAACTATTATAGTAATAAAACCAAGTAATTAGTGTCATTTCCTGTGGAAACCTTGAAAAGTAAGCCTTTTTCAATGGCATCAGCAGTAATTAAAGTGGGTTTTTTTTTATATATATATTTTTTTATTTTCTAAATAAGTTCACCCTACTAAAAGACACTAATTACTAATTTTATTATTATAATAGTTTATACTCTTCACTCTCCCTTGATGATTTGTATGTGTATATATATAATTACGTCCCAAGTAGCAGTACATGGAAAGAGATGTCAAATATCATGATAATATAATCTATGGGGAACATCCAAAATTTATTTGACAAAAATGAAATCAAAAATTAAAAATAAAACGTGCACAATGTTTGTAGAATGCAACAGCATGTGCATCAATAAAATTTTTGCTGAAAATTTTAAAAAACTATAAAAATATTACAAAAAAATTAAGTATATTCATATGTGTTAAAATTTATTTTAATAAAACAATGTTTTACTATTAGATTAAATAGGTATGTAGCTATGAAAACTTTTTAAAAACTTTGTAAATATTTTTAAGTCACCATAGCAATATTTATGAATTTATATAAACATGGTGAATTTTTCATTTCAGTAGCAGGAGTTTTAAATTAATTTGATTGAGTGGTTTTTCATTTTGAACAAATTAGAAAGTTGCGTTTATAAAGAAACATTAATTCAGAAAAAAGATTTTAGTTTAAAAAAAATCTATGGAATAGATGAACTTAAAACTATAAAACTTTCAATTACATAATTTTACAAAGTGTTATAGTGTGTCACTGATGCATAAAGGTCAGTATAAAACTTCGGTTACTAGTACTTTTCATATTTATCATATCTCATTGTAATTTTTAGTTAATTAGTGTTTTAGTTTTGTTATTTTTATTGTTATTTATTTGTAGCTAAAATCTACCTATAGACCTCAAATACAAAACACTGGAACCCGTTGCAATGCTATTGAAGAGCTACACAATGCATTTGCTGCAGCTGAACATTGCAGTCCTGGCGTAACTGACACATTCGTAAAGGAAATATTCCGACGTTTAGTACCAAATGTAAGTGGGCAGCGACGAATGCAACAAATAATAGACAGGCTGAAAGTGTAAGTTTCATTCTATCTTTTGTGTATAATTTAAATACTTGACTGCTTTATATCGTGTTCTGTATAACCAAAACATTTTAAATCTTCCTTTGCTTTACAAGTTGTTTAAGTTAGCACCATTTCTTAGGATATGTACTAGCTGAATGGTTGAGATTACTGAATGATGAGTTTAATCCAGGTACAACCTCAGGTGAATGGTCTGGTTGGTTCTAGGAAAAAAACACAGAGGAAAAAAGCCCACAGAAATAATGCTCACAGGAAAAAAGCCCACACAGAAATATGCCCACAGAAACATACTCACATGGAAAAATGCTCACTTAGAAATATGCTCACATGGAAAAAAGCTCACATGGAAATAAGTTCACTGATAAGAAACTACGTAGAAATATCCTTACATTAATCAATCAATAATTAATCGATACAAACATTGTACACCTACTTGAATTTTTTAAAGAAAAATTATTTGATCATTTAAAAAAATTATTGGACAAATGCTCATATTAACCTTTTCAGGGTTGGTATATAAAAGAATGAAAACTATAGTAAATTTGCATGTAGTGTAATATTTTATACCAATGCCCCTTGTATGACATTTTTTCCCCTGTTACTACCAATAGTTTATTTTTGTTTTTTATTTACTCTATTTTTGCATACTTTGGATGTGTATCTATAGAAATTGATGTCTGAATGTAGTTATTTAAGTTTGGAGCCAAAAAAAGTTCTAGTAGACCTATAGTTTCCAATCGAAGTGTGGAATCATTAGGAAGCAGCCTTCGAAAAATCTCCTAAAACAACAAATTATTACGAAAGCTTTCATAAGGTACTAAATTCATTATTTAAATGTAGCCAGCCGTCTTAGTATGTGGTTTTTGTTTGACGGGCTGAAAAAAGATTTAGTCTGTCAACGTTTATTACTAGCTATTATAAATACAGGGTGTACTGAAGTGGGAAAAAAAATATGAAAACTTACATTTGGTAATCGCGAATCATGTAAGAAACTATGATGAAATCTGTGATAAAATTAGGTATTTGCTTATATTAGCTAATATTCAGTAAGTTTGTAGAGACATTAGGTATTTTGGAAGCAGGAGATATGGAAAATGAGCAAAGCCTTCATCGGGAATCAAACCAGGGACCGCTGGAATACACGAACAGCGTGCAGACCACCACAACACGAAGGCATGCTAGGAAGGTGGGAGAAATACCCTATATACTCCCCCCCTTTAAAAAGGCGACTGGGGTTTTTAGGAGACCCAATCGCAAAATCCTGGGTGTGGAGAATCATCAACCACCACCATTTTAGTTCGGGTGCCACTGTAGAGACAGTATGTATTTTGGAAGCAGGAGATATGAAAAATAAGCAAAGCCTTCACCGGAAATCTAACCATGGACCTCTGAAATACGCGCCCAGCGTGCAGACCACCACAACACGAAGGCATTCTAAGAAGGTGGGAGAAATACATTATACGTTTATGTTAAATATACATGATTTCTATATAACAAGGTATGTTATGTAATTTTTCTATATAACAAGGTATTTTATGTAATTTAAATAAAATAATTATTTCTATTTGCTTATTCTTCTAAATGTTTAAATTATAAAATGTGTAACTTATACTTACTATTTATTTTTTTAACAATTAAAATTGTAATAATATTTTGCTGTATATTCTGTTTTATTTTCTTCCTCCCTCTTCTCTTTCTCCTATTTCAAAACCGCCCATTTGTTAATCTTATATAGCAACTAAATCTACACATAAGTTATAGAGTTTTTGATATATATATCATAGATGTTTTGGTAATTTAAACAATTTTTCTTTGGAAAATTAAAGTAGGTGTACAATGTTCAAATCGGTTATTATTGATTGATTAATGTAAGGATATTTCTGCGTATTTTATATATATCAGTGGGCATATTTCTGTGTGAGCTTTTTTCCTGTGAGCATTTATACCTGTGATCATTTTTCGAGTGGGCATTTTTCCGGTCACCGTTCTGGTTACATGTTTGGGATTTCGTAGTTTCCCTCATGTGTAATATGAACATAAGCCAGTTTTTTCTAGAAAGTCTTCCACAAAGGCAGCTCATCCCTTAGGCAGACAGCCGTATGTACTTCCATATTTCAAATAACCTAATCTTATGATATGTAAATGAAAAAATTAATATTAAAATTAATTTCCCCTTTTTTATATTTATTATTATAACTGAAAGATAAATAAATGAACTACTTACTACAAACAGCTTTTATCAGTCGCAAACAGTTTATTTCGGATCTGAACAATCAGGCTTTTACCAATATGAGTTTTATAAATGGTGGTGATGAGTTTAATAAATGGCACTTTTTCTGTTGATTAGTGTATATTTATTTTGGTTCCTGGAAATTTAAATGCTGTAATCAGCTGAGTTTATTAACCAGTGAGTTTAATAAGTGGCAGGCACTATATTATAAATAATAAATTACATTATTATACATTTGAGTTTTTTTTTTTTTATTATTTATTTATTGTTTTGAATGGAATGCATTATTCTAGTTCACACTGATTCCTATGGGGAAGAAATTGTTTTATTTAACGACTGTTTCACATTACAAGTATGACTATTCTCATTGAGGTTCCATTGTACACAACTTAAAATGTGCAAATGAAAATAACAGGAAAAAGCAAAAAGCTGTAAGTAAAGTCATAACTTTTATATGAGTTTGAACTCAATGGCATTAGAATTCTTGTATAAACACTGTTCGTTTTAATTGAATATTTTGATTTCTGATGATATTTATTCTTCTGTTACTGAAAGAACATTCATTTTTTTTTAATACTAATTGAATTTACCTAAACTAATAAACTTATTCTTCAGAATAAACTGTTTGAAAATGCAAGTAAATTGTTAATAGTATTTGTCTGTTAATTGTAATATAAGTTATGCCTCTTTTCTAGTATTATAAGTTAGAATACTAGTACTTAATCTCTCTATTATAATGTAAGTTATGCCTTTATTTTTTCACCATCCTTGGAGTGACCATTAACTATAGATGTCATCCCCAACATTAATCCAGTAAATGGGGAGTTTGGTATAAAATTATATTTCATACAAGTTTATTTTTTGAAATATTGTATAACAGAATTATTAAACTTAATCATTATTTATTCAACATTATATGTTCCTTTTGATGCATCATTCAGATGAAAAATGGTAAATTATTTAAAAGAACAATAAAATTAACATGCAGAATTTGATTTAAAATGTCTTAAAAATCTTTAGTGACTTTAAATGAAAAGACATATTATGTTACCAGCCGACTACTGTTATCGATTTGCTGAGGTCCCGCCCGTTTCTGTACAGAAACGTGAAAACTATGCCACTTATTGTGATCAACAATTTAGTTAATATTATAGAATAATTTTTGAATGAAACTCAAGTCACCCAGTAAAAGATAAATTTGCCAAATAAGATCAAAATAAATTATAAAAATTGCCAAGTGACAGAGATTTTGATTTCAGTCAATCACTTAAAACTAGAGAGAAAACGCAATTTGAATAACTGTATGGAACTTGAGGACAGACACACAAACATAAGTTCTATTTTCTCAGGAGAAAAAGGCATTCAGCAGAATTTTTTTGAGGGGGAGGGAGAGAATTCCTGAAATCATCTATGACAAACTAAGCTTGCCTTTTTGGAAATTTTAAATTTTACATTAATATGTTCTCTTCCAATGAGGTATTCCTTCTGAATATTAAAATTAGGTGTACAGCATTGGTTAACCATTTTTTGGAAATGTTATGGAACAGTTCATAAACAAACATTTGCATTTTCCTTCTTAAAATGGTAAGAAAATACTTATTTATATATTTCTTGATATCTTTATATTAAATTAGTTAAATTCCGTTTTTATTTTGAAGGTTAATTTTTCTGATTGTTTAATATTAGCATTCAGTTAATGTTGTCAAAATAGTTGTGGACAAATGTGATCACAATTAAGCGGTGCCTATTGTATAAGCATTGAAAATCATGGAGGTAGGAAAGGAAGGAGCGGCCAATCGGCGCTAGAAGTGAAGCACTGCTTTGAAGCTTGGGTTACCAGATGGGGTGTTCTTTGTTTACATTCAGAAGCTCGCTTGACAGGGTTCTGATAGTATTTCGACACACGACAGTTCCATACAAATCGAAAAAGGGACACTTTTGCATGAAAGAAACATTCATCGTGTGATGGATAATAGCAATTTGTATAGTTTAGTGACATTTACGCAAAATCACATCTTGGTTATTTTTCGATAACTAACAACAGCGATTTTGATTATGAATTTGTTTTATAAAATTCTAAGCTGTTGAACTACAAACATATAGATTTTAAGAAAAATGTTATGCTTAAAGAATGAAAAATACCTTACGGTACATTTAAAATTGTATACCTCTTTCGATACCCTAGATAGAGTATTTGCTACTTTTATTTTATTTTCCAAATGCCAAAATGTTTTAAATAAAAAAAAATTTTTTCACATCCATATATTATTGTAACATGTACCTTTTAAAATTTTTTAGAGGAGAGGCTTTACTGCTGCTCATTTTAAACTCATCGTTTTAATTTTATATATCTTATTTGTAATTAGGCACATAGGTCAGATTAAGTTTTTATTAAATAGAGTAACGCATGCAAGGGCTATCTGCCTAAAGAGAGAGATGCCATCGTGGAGGAATTTTGAAGAAAAACTGACCTTTGAGTGGATATTAAAAATAATGCATATAATTTTCATTCAAATTATATTCATATATATTTTTTATGTAAAACTTTTGGGTGTATGCTAAATTAGTGTAAATTACTTTACACGAAAAATAAGTGAATGCACAGAAATTAAAGATTTGTACATGCCGGAAATGATAAATAGGAAATATGTATGGGTATTTATGCATGTGCTTGCAAAAAGCATGTATCTGCCTTTGACAAAATACTTAAATATTCATTAAATTATTTATAAATGTATTTGAAATGAAGAATTTATTCACTTATAAACAACTGTAAAAGTACAGTGAAGAAATCTAATTATTAAATGTATCTAATTTATAATGATTATAAATATTATCTAAATATATAATAACCTTAATATTGAATTGTAAACATAAATTGAAATCCTGTTGACAAATATGTTATAAAACTATTTAAGCAAGAATTGTTCGTATTGGAAAGCAATCTGTTAAAAGGTATTGTAAAGCAAATGCTATGAGATGCGCACTTAAGAATGTAATAAAGAGTTTTGGAATATGTATTGTTGAAATGAACAGTAAAAAAAATCTGATAAGTATAATTAAAAGAATTATTCCCCTTACATTTTATAATAACTCAGTTACAAGTTTTAAATAATACTTAAAAAAAAAAAAAAACTTATTTTATTCCCTTTCAGAAATGTTCAGAGAAAGTCAAGTACTATTTAAAGTATTTCGCTAATTCCTAATAATTCTCTAATTTAAAATGAACCGAATAGAGCATTAATTATAAATTGACTTACATTTTTCGATTTAAAAGATGCCTCAGAAGCCAAAAAATCATGTCATATTTAAGAAAGTATTTTAGAAAGAAGCTCTATAAATAGAAAAGAAATAATGCATAATTTTAATATTAATAATACAATAAACTTTGATCTTAATTTTTGTACCTTAACCGAATAAAATCGAATTACCTTAATTTTTTTTTTCTAATGTAATTAGCGAAAACTTGTGAAAATATTTCATTCAAATTAAACCATTCTAAGAAAACTGTCCTCTGAAAAGTATAGCATTTAATTCCATTCAGAATGAAATGTTTAAAAAATATGTTGTTTTCGTATACTTAGGACTCTGAAGTGTTGTAGAAAAAGAAAATATATACATTTATATGTATATTTACGACGTAATTACAAAATATTTACATTCGAACGCGTCAAATCCCATTGAACTCGATGGTAAATGACCCAATGTTTTGGTCACCATGTAGGGATCGCCGGTGCTTCAGAGAAAGGTACGGGAGAAACTTGCTTAGGACTACTCCATCTTACTTCCTACCTCCATGTTGAAAATAATGTCATAACATCCCAAAAAAAATAAAAATTTTATAGAAATAAATTCATATTGTAGATAATAAGTATGCAAACATTAATTCCACTTCAAAAGTTATGAGACAGAAATATATCTATTAAAAAATCAAGCCAGGAAAGCTGAATCCTTCTTAAGTACAACATATGAATAATCCAGAAAACTGTAATCAAATATATTGCATTCTTCATAAACTGTGGCAGAATTAATTTAATTATATCCCAAAGAAAATGGGACTCATAATTTATTTGCATCTTATATTTCATTAGTTAACAAAAAGCACAACTGAAAGTACATCTCTCTTATAAGTATTTTAAATATGTGTAACATATTTTTAAGAATTATGTCTAACTTTTTTTTAACCATTTCTAAATAATATTTTTTTGATTAATATCAATTTAAAGGCCAATTCTTTTTAATTCTATGCATTTTTATGTGCCTACGTTTGTATGAATGTATTCAAGGTGTTAAATGATGGAAAAAATTTCACATTTTTAAAATTTTGAACATATGTTTTTGCATTTATACTGTATTTTTTTATATAACACAGGAATTTATATTTCCTATCTTTTTTAGGGATGAACCTTAAGAGTACTCAAGTGCCAAGTATAACAGATTATATTGCCTCTAAGTAAAATCACATATCAGCCTTGTCCTAATTGATTCCAGCTTGGATAAAATCTTGAGTAATATTTTTACTCTTAAATTATTTAATAAAATTTAGAATTACGTATGAGTACATTTGAAGTTAATTTTTTTCTTCCTGCAAAGCTGATAAATGTAATGCTTTTCGTGTTTCAAAACACATCAGATATTCGTTAAATCAATGAATTCATGTTTTATGTGATAAAAGGTGCTTTTCATGCTTAAAGTTTTTCTTTTAATAATTTTAATAATTTTTTGCAAATTTTGAAAGAAATAGTTTTGAGAATTGGTTCATATATTCTAATTTTAGTAATATTATTATGTAACAACTATCTTCTTTATATATACTATTATCTTAAATTTTCTAAAGATTGTCTTAAATTTTCTAAAGATCAAAATACATATTGTCCTAGATTTTTTAAAGATAAAAAAAAAATTTTTGGAATGTAAGTTAGTGCCAACGTCTTTGCATTTGGTGCTCCTTGTATGAACTGACTTTCAAAATGTGAAATATTATCAAATATATTTATGAGGTGAAATTTCCCCAACTCCCTTTGTTTCTACTTACAAACTTGGACACTAAATTTTAAATATTCATTTTAAATGTATTGAATTAGTTTCAGATTTTTCAATACAGTCAATTCTGGTTAACTGGGAAATGCATCAGTTTGGACTATCAGTTATTGCAGAGAATGAAATCATCAGAATTGAAAACTTTTGTATATTATTTCTTGGCTATATATGACAGTAATGTAATAAACAGGACAAAAAAAACTAAATGTTTATAATAGTGGTAAATAATTATAAACATTTGGAGGGGGATTTAATGCAGAAGATATTTAATAAAGCTAACAAAATTCATCTGTTCTGCACGACACTATAGGTGTATGTGTACTGCATATTATATAGCAAGAGTAGCCAAATTTCATGTCAGTAAGAGCTGCTTGTTGGTATTCAGAAAAGTTTGGAAGCTGTAACTAGATTTTTCAAATGACACAGGTCCATATTTACAACATTTTAAAAGTAGTGAAACAAGTTTCAAATGGAAAGAAACACCTGATAACTGTAGGTGGATTCCCCAGGTAATGCAAACAAGTAAACTTGCTTTGAGGAAGCAGGTGGATCACATAATATTATATTGCTTAACTGTTTGAGTCCGGTGAAGCGCTATCGGGCTTCACTTGTCATATGCCAAAAAATACGGCGCAGCGCGATAGCACTTCTCTTGTTTTGTATCGAGAATGCGAAGACGCTGCTGTTAGTTAGTATACTTTACACAATTATTGAGAGCAGTTGTAGTGATATCAGTAGCAGTTGTTTTATAGGATTTGGAAATTGTTTTCATTTTTTTACCAAGTGTTATACTGATAATTACAAAATAACCCATGTCAAGTTCTGATTCATTTGAAAGTGACTATGTTATGAGAAGTGATAATGAAGAGTATAGTAATGACCTTGAAAGTGATAGTGGAAGTGGCATCATCATTCGTTCTAAGAGATTATGAGTTATTAGTGATAGCAGTGATGATGATGAAGTAACTGAAAGTACCTCCGATGATGATATTATTGATGAGTTTTTACCTGTGGATACAATTTTTTCGAATGAATCGAATACTTTTTCTGAAGTACCTGGACCAAAGCATGCCCCTCCTCCTGATGCGAAACCAATTGAATATTTCAATAATTTTTTTTTTCAAGTATACTAACCAATAGCAGCGTCTTCGCATTCTTGATACAAAACAAGAGAAGCACTATCGCGCTGCGCCGTATTTTTGGCATACAAGTGAATCGCGATAGCGCTTCGCCGGACTCAAACGGTTAAGCATGCTTTATTCTTTGCCAAAATGTTACTAAGTGTTGTTGGTCAAATACTGCATGTGCAAGAATAGATTAAACAATTTTTTAAGATCCAGTTGATCAAAAGATATAAGAAATAATTACGAAATTTAAACATCTTTTTATTCATGAACTATGAAAAATATCCTTTTAAAAATTAACAGCTGCTATATGTTAAAAAAATCTTCACCTTGGATTTCTGGCTTGCATTCTTGATTCAGCCATTAGGTATGGTAATCATAAAAATTTTAAAGACATATGACAAAAAATTATACAGTATATTTTAAAGACACTTGGGGAAAGAGGTATTCTAACATTTATTATCTGATGTTATATTTTTGACATTAACTGTTTACACAATAAAGTAATTTAAAAAAAAGTATCTTCCATTTCATATAATTGATATGAAATAAAGTAGTAAGACAGTATAAGACTGATTTTCACACTGGTGTTTTAAAAATTGACTTACTGGATTCAAATTCACTTTCAATGTTTCCATCATTTCTTGGAAACACTGAAAGTAAATCTGGATCCTTTGAAATGGGAGGGGGCTAAGATGTTAGGAACTTGAATCTGTGGTTAGTAATGTTCAATGTGGGTGTAATAATGACAGTTACAAAAAACATTCTACCAAAAATAAGATTGCATAAAGAAATGGAAATTCTGTTCGCTCATAATCAAACACAGCCATACTATGAAATGCACAACAAAAATTTTTCTTTCTATTTCTTTGAAAGAATTGGCATGTGTTTAATACATAAGTACTTAGATATCAGATGTATTAGCAATTCTCATTTTATTTAATTACTACATGCATTAAAGTTACTTCATGAGAAAAAAAAATACTTGTACATAATTGCATTAGTTTGAAAGAAATGAGGTAAAATGCACGTGAATTTGTAATTTTATAAAATAATGAGGTTTATTTTAACTGCATGAAGAAAGTGTTGATTAAACATTTGAATTTAAATTAACAAGTTCAAAAAAGGCAGCAAAAGTATTGATAAAATATGATTATATTTTCAGCAAGGATGCATTTCATTTTCTGCTTCAGTAATGATGATTTTGTTTACTCATAATCAAACATAAATATGCTGAGGATTTACAGTACAAAAATTTCTACAGTGAAATTTCTTACTAATAAAATAGGCATATAAGCACATTTATATTTGATACATAAATATCAAATGTCTTACCAACTATATTTAGTTATTATATATATTATTTATTTCATAGATAGAAAACATGCATATTCATTTCATTTGCAAAAAATAGTTTGAAAAAACGTTTGTTGTTTATACCTTTTTTTTTTTTTTTTTTTTTTTTTTTGTAAAATGAATTTGATTTGTTATATTATAACACATGGGATTAATTCTTTATATATATATATATGTATAAAGAATTAATCCCAAGAATTAATCCATAAAGAAAGAATTAATCTTTATATATATATATATAGTAAAACCGAATTTTACATAAATATGAATGCTGTTTTATTGCAGTAAAACTTAGAATTCTCAAATGCACCAGTTAACCAAAATTAACTATGTTTTGCATTCAAGGTTATGTGTTAATAAAAATAGAAGTATAAAAGACATTTATAATAGAGATCTATTTTCAAAAAATTAGTACTCAGTTACAAGAAGAGTATTAAAGATTAAAATTATTACTATTATAAGAAGAGTATTAAAACAACTATTATGCTATATTTTACTCAATCAGCCCGTATCTTATACTATACTGTATTTTTTTTTTTTCTGGTATATATTCTGTGAATTAAATGGCCAGTCAGTCAGATATTAACTTGCAAATTTTTGTATAAAACCAAAGAATATAGATATTTATCCATACAAAAATGCTGTGTATAATGTATGTAGTAAATGTTTATTTGAAGTTACTGAATTTTGTAACGCCTGTTAATTTGTTGCACATTTTATGTACAACAAAGACTTAAGTATTAAGTGCAATGATTTTCAAAGTTACTTAAATAATGCTTTAAGTTATGTTATACCTATTTAGGTACATAAATAGATATATATTCTAAGTTGAGAAATTAATGCTATTTATAAGTTAAAATTTATGCAAATTTCTTGATCTCTGAAATTAAAATTGCCATATTTTTTATGCCAGTTTTAATAAAGATATTTTTCTTCTTTTGAGAAAAGGTCTGAAGAAATTTTAGATTTTTTGCTTATCTCTCATATATTACTGAAAACTTCATTCAAAATAAGGCAAAATATATATTCGTTTTGTAAAATAAGAGACTAAAATTTTTTATCATTGTTATTTGTATAAGAAGCTTGCCTACCTCTTGAAAAAAGATATTAATTTATGTATATGTTTACTGTTGATTCTTTCACATTTTTAAGAGTTTATAAAAACATTTATGTAACATTAGTTGATTTTTTTTTTACTTATTAAGTTATTATTTTGGATGTATCACAGAAAATGATACAACAAATATAAGTGTTGTAGGAACTAATAATAAATTGATTGATTGAAGCATAAAAGTAAGAATTCATATTAGCTTATAACAGCTTGAAATGAAAAAATAAGATTTTTATTACTATTTTTATAACATAATAAAAATTATGAAAAACTTCAATGAAAAGTATTCAGCATGAAGTAGAATATTTTTAAAACAATAAAAATTGATATAAAACTTTACTAGTAGTGAATCAATTAAAATTAAGAATTCTAAATAGCAAAGTAGTTCTTTTTTTTTTTTTTTTTTTTTTTTTTTTTTTTCGTAATGAAAACAAAGAAAACTATGGTTTGATATACAAACATTTAAAAATCCTTCATTTAAAAAATATTTAAGAGCTTTCTTATTTTTTATATGAAATGTATTTTATTTTTAGTCATTTGTATATATATGTGTGTATATGTCTTTAGTAGTTATTTTATGATAGATTTTTTTAACACCATGTGTTCATTGTAATTTATTACTTAATTTTTTTACTCTTGAAATGTTTGTCAAATATATTTGTATAAAAAGTTGGTATGAATGATAATAAAATACTACTTCCTTAATAGATATATGTTATACCTATGCATTTAGTGTATTTGCATTAGCATATGCACAACTTAAGTATAGCTTTCGAAAATTTGTTTTGAATTAGCATTTCTGTGAAGACATCATTTGTAAAATGAAAATTATTGAAGGAAATCTCTTTTGAGAGCTTTGCATTGTATAGCAACTCCTAGTCATATTTCTATGAACTGTTACTCATTTTAAGACTATTAGATGTAAATATATTGAATATATATTGAAATATCACCTCTAAAAATAATTTTCATGTAAATAATATATTATTTGTTTTCCTTTGAAGTTTTAATATATTTATGAGAGCTTATATCTTAACTATTTTACTAATATCTGCAGATTATTTTTGTTATTTCATGTGACAAATTTCTGGAAACTGTTCAATAAGAATTATTTGTGTAATTCCTTTACATCTTAGAATTTAATTTCTTTTAAAATTTCTCAGTATTTTGAAAAAGTATCTTAGCAGATGAACCATATGTGTATTGTATTCAAGTTCCATGCAAGATATCTATAAAAATTTAGAGCTGACTAGAATCATATTTTAAATTAGCATTTTAATTAAATAGCTTAGTCCAAAAAAACCTTACAAAATGCTTGGTGTTTTCTAATATTTTAATATTTCATGTTAGATACTCTTGGACAACTATTAGTGCATAGTATAATTTAAACTTTTCAAAAATCTGAAATGTGGTGGTTTTTGCTATTTACTATCTTTTCAAATATGTAGAAGCTTGTATGAAAAATTTTGTTAAGGTATATTATTTCTTCCAAGATACATCTTTGAAATATGCTTTCACAAACCTGTAGCTGTTAATAATGTTTCTTTATTTAAAATATAAATACATAAAATCATAATTTGTACTTATTCATTCATAACCTAAAATATGAAAATTAATAACAAATATGTTTCTTTGTAGTCATTATTAGATGTTCTTAATAATCATGATATTGTCTAGCTGAATTTAATATCTGATCATTCAAAACCAAAAGCATAACTTATACAGACAGTAAATGTTGCTTTTTGTTGTTTTATTATTGTTGTATTAAAAAATTATTCAATACTATTTCTTTCTTTATTGAAAAAGAATGTGTAATTAAATCATTTATGTTGAGTTTTTTTTTAATTGTATTTTTTTAAGTAGCAACTCAATAAACAGAATTTTTGTACAGTATTTTAAATGTTATATTTTAACTGTTTTCATATTTCCAGATCTTTCTGCTCTTTAATATGTCATGTAGATAATTAAACTCTAAATAACCTATCAAATTATATAATGCATGAACTGTTTACTATCACTGCATATACAATTTGACATATTCTAAATAGTTATAATTTACTAACAAGATTTAAGTTTCAGGCAAAAATTAAATAAAACCTCATTTTTAGATTACAGCAAAAAATGTCCTATTTTATAATTTTTATAAAGGATAAACTCAGTTATGCATCTACTAGAATATCTGGCAATAAATATAACACTAATATCAGTTACATTTATATGTATAATAGCAGTTTTTAATACTAGATCTTAATGAAACTAGATAGTAATAATTCATAATTTTAGTAAAATTGTAAAATTTATCCTCCTGATTTATTTCAGAAAACTTTTTGAACAACAAACATGATTAAGTGCAATTTCAGGTAATAAAGAAAATATAGTTATTAATAAGTTTTAAAAAATTCAAGTCTTCAAAGTAATAACTTATTTTTAATACCTATTCAAATAAGTATTAACATGTAAGAGTTTGTGAAAATGTTTTGTAAATGTTCATTGTAACCAAGTCCTGTTCTGTTTGTAACTCTGCCTTTTTAGCTTGATGAATCTCAATAAATGTAATTAAGTATTTGTGATATATTTTTGTCCATTATTTCTGGTGGGGAAAAAAAGCTGTATTTTACATGTGCTAGATAATGTATAAAAGAAATAAATGCTTGTGAAACTTTAATGTGTAATTTATTCCTAACTTATGCATCAAAAATGAAGAGGTCTTTTGTTTTAATATTTAGTTTTAATCTTTGCCAGAGAATGATGATAATGTTAATATTGGGATGTTGCAATACATAGAAAAAATTGTCTTCTTGTAAAATTGTGGTTCTGCTGAAAATATACATCACAAGGAAAAAGGTAGATAATGAGAATGTCCGGTAAATTGTGAAATATGGAAGAATAAAAACACAATAGCTCTCGATAGGTTCCAGTGGAAAGTGAAGCAAAAGGGAAATATCAAAAACGCAAATACAATAGCAAATGTAACATAAAAGTGCTCCAAGGGGAGTTTATTTTAACGTTTTGTGTGTTACCTTTATTAATTAAATATCATGTTCTTCGCACTTAAGCCATAAAATTCAGTTCAACAGCAATATCGCAAAATAATTTTAAAATAAGCACATCTTTAGAATTTCTGATACATGGTCTTGAGAGCTTGAGGTAATTTCCCCACCACTCCATACAGTGTTGACATTGCTCATTTTGAAACTGCCGAGTTTGTTATCAAAGATTCGTTAAAAGTTTACAAAACATGAAATAGATAATAAAACAAATTCCTGAATTTAGGCTTCCAAATGCCTATATTTGGGTGGAAGCGTACGTTATTCAAAATTTGTAAATTGTTTTATCACAATATGAGAAACATACATACATTTATGCAAATTCTTCATTATTTAATTTCTTTAAATATAATACAGGGCTCTAATATCTGGTGGCAACAATTTGAAAAGTGAACTGACATTTAAAGTTTTCAACACAAAATGCCAAAATGAAATTAATAGTCCTTCTGGGTAAATTGCCCCTTTGGACTAAAAATTAGAAACACCATGGAACTAGAAGTAAAGCAGAGTTCATTAAAAACATTAACAATTTTGATTTCTTGGGATTGATTTTTCAGTAATTAGCACATCATTCCTATATATTTTAAAATTTGTTTTTCAACTTTGAGAGAGTAAAGCAAGATAGGAACAGTTTGATTAGCAGCAGCATTGTAGTATAATAAGATGCAAGACAATTATGATCATTTTTGAGAGATGGAAAATTATATGTAAGAATTTAGGTAAAAAATACAACCAAAAACAAAATCCTAACATGAACAAGAGTATGTTCAGCCAGTGAATTTTTAGTAATTAATTAATTTGCAGATTTTTAAAATCATTCAAAATACTTCTATTGTTTATTGGTATATACTGCATACTTTGGACCTACTACTGTCCCTCCAATATAATATAATGGAAATTGACCACTTTGG